CTCCCTCAGCTGCTCCTCCTAAGACTTGTGCTCCAGACCCTCCACCAGCTTCACTGCCCTTCTCGACTTGCTCCAGCACCTCAGTGTCTTTCTTGCAGTGAAAAGCCCAAAACTGAATACTGGATTTGAGGTGCAGCCTCACCAGGGCTGAGTACAGGGCAATCACTGCCCTGGTCCTGCTGGCCACAATATTTCTGATCCAGGCCAGGATGTCATTTGCCTTCTTGGCCACACATTGGCTCACGTTCAGCTGCTGTTGACCAGCACCCCCAGGTCCTTTTCCACTGGTTAGATCTCCAAACACTCTGCCCTAGCCTTCAGCATTCCATTGTTGAGAGGTTGTTGGGACCAAGGTGCAGGACTCAGCACTTGACCTTGTGGAACCTCACACAATTATTCTTGGTCCATCAATCCCATCCAATGTCCTCTGCACAGCCTTCCCACCCTCCAGCAGATCAACACTTCCACTTTGGTGCCAACTTGTCACAAAGTGACAGGAACCACTTGATCCCCTTGTGATCCCCTTGTCAACATCATTGATAAATGTATTAGACAGGGCTGGTCCAAATACTGACCCTTGGAGAGCATCACTTGTGACCAGCCACCACCTGGATGTATCACCATTCACCACCACTCTCTGGGCCCAGCCATCAGCCAGTCCCCTACCAGCAGAGAGACTGCCTGTCTGAGCCCATCCATTTGGAAGCTGTGAACATGATTCACCTTCTCATACAGAGAGCAGTGAACAAGTATGGGCCTATGCACAGTACTAAATCTTTTTAAAATTGAAGTCCCTGATAGCTAAAATGAGAGCTGAAGAGGTTGAGGTAGAATACCTGCTCTGCCACTGTTTTCTGAAGCAATGAATTCATTAACACCACAGAGCCCCTGCTGGTTATGACATAAAAGCAGATGGACCATTTATCAGCATTTTGTCCAGAGGTCAATCAAATAACTGTCATATCACTTCTGAACAGGCTCTGTCTGAGCACTTTCTGTCATTCAAATTAACAGAATCCCCTCTCCAGCTGCAGGGTTAAAACACACAGAATGAGGATGTAACAATGGAAAGAATATTTATTCAGAGTATTATGCCTTCAGTGATAAATATGCATGGGCTCTTCAAAGCAGATTTCAAAAAAAAAAAAAAAAAGGTGGTTATAAAATCTTGTGTAATTAAATTTTCATTCTCCTCTCTAGTGGAAGCATGATGAGACAAAACTGAATGTGGAAAAATGGATCTGACTGACACTGCTCTTGGTCAGAAATAGCTTGCAAAGGAGAGTCCCCAGGCAATACCTAACACAGCTTCAGCAGGCTCACCAGGTGGTGTAAAGCACTGCAAATAAAATAATGGCAGAGCAAGAAGGGGGTGGGGGAGGAACCAACAAAAGACAACAAAAAAGCCTCAGAAAACAAAACCAAACAAAAAGCATTCAGAACCTCCCCCACAAAAACCCAAACTCATTCACACATACATTCCCCCCCCCTCCCCCCCCGACAAAACCAAGCAGAAAGAAAATTCAAAGAGAGTTCAGCCACTCAAAAGCCCAAATGAAATAGCAAGGATACAGGGAAAAGAACTGTTCCAGAAAAACACCTTCCTTCCCAGCAATGCAGAAACAACTTACGGTCTTTTCTTGCACACAGCCTCCCTCTCCTGTCAAAAAGATGAAGTTTCAGTTCTGAAACATACACTGCAACATACAATCCTTTTACAACTGACCAAGAATCATTCTCTGCATCCTAATATCTCACCCTATAAGCAGCATAGAACATTTAAATCAGTGTCAACACCAAAGCTAGGAAGGGTGAAGAAATGAGGGACCTGCCACACAGCTGATGGCAAAAGCCAATCAGAGATGGTTAATATCAAGGACAGACTGAATTCAAACACGTAGCAGAAAATGTGATTCCAAACATGAAAATACGTGTAGCCAAAAGAGGGAAATGGACCCAAGACAAGAAAATTCTTTTTAGAAGAGACATTAGAGATGACTAAGAACAGAAGGCAAAAATGGCCCCTTTACAACCCAAATCAACCTGGAGGTCCAACCTGTATTTCATTTCAAAAACAAATCCTAGGAATGGGATGAGCCTTAGGACCAGACATGGGCCATAACTTGGACAAAATAAATTCTTGAGGGTCTTCTGGTGTGTTTTCTAGCAGCTTGCCTGTTCCTTTGAAGCCTTATTCCAAAAGAAGCTCCTATTCCAATCAACTTCTACATGGAGCTAAAACAAAATATAGTTACAGTAGACTCAAATCTAACATCTTGGTCACTCAGAAAGTTTCTCTAAGGTCAATGCATCCTCCATTCATACATAACATTACACTGATTTCAAGAAAATATAACAATATGCATTATACATTGGATGATGAGGCCAAGGAAATTGCTATGTCAAATCAGAAGACTGTATGTTGTGGAATTACAGCCTGCGGCCAAAAAAGAAATGGAGTCCCTGTCCTTGGAGATGTTTAAAATAAAAATACTTGATGTGACACTTAGTGCCATGGTCTAGCTGACTAGGCGGTATTAGTCATAGGTTGGACTCAATGAACCCAAATGTCTTCTCCAACCCAGTTAATTCTGTGACTCTGTACAGTCTTTTCAAACTATGTGCATAACACAACACGCTACAGCTTACAGAGGACAGAAGACATGGAATAAACACATTGAGACCCAACAGAAAAAGAACAAATTGTTTAAATTAGTTAAAGATCTGGGGCCCTTTGTTATGGTCTTCATGGTAAATCATCCACACCCACTGATGAAACTGAAAGAGGTCAGAATATATGAAACTTTTAGAGCAGAAAAATATTTAAGAGGTTTTCCAGAGGTAAAGTCCTTTGCCCTTTTCTCATACTCTGATAATAATGACATTCAGACACTTTACTATCAGACCTCAATTTTCCTGCCAGACCTCAACACAAGACAGCTCAGTCACAACCTCTAATCACTTCTACAGATCATACAATGGTTTGGGTTGGAAGGGGACTTTGAAGACCATTTCGTTCCAACCTTCCTTCTGTGGGCCAGGATATTTTCCACCAGACCAGGTTGCTCAGAGCCCCATCCAACCTGGCCTTGAGCATCCCCAGGGATGGGGCATCCACAGCTTCCCCAGGCAGCCTGTTAGAGTGCTTCACCACCTCCACAGTAAAGACTTTTCCCCTAGTACTCAACCTAAACTTACTGGGTTTGAAGTTGAACCCATTTTTCCCATTCATTCTGGTGAAGATACATTAATATAGCTTCATCAGATTTTCCTAGAAAAATCCAGGAAAACTACAATATAGATGCTTACCAAGACTACCACATTCTTTACATTCTCCTCTTGTCTAACTAATTAACATGCTTCAGAAGACTTTTGTCAAACTCTACCAGACTTTCAGAGACTTAGCAAAAGCTGGCATCCTCTCCAACCAGCACTCCAGGGAACTGCTACCTGCAGAGGAATGAACCTTGGTAGACATGTTAGAAGATCAGTGTTTGAGACACCTGATCTAGTTGCTGTATTTATTCAGGAACCTCAGAAACACTACCAGAGTTTTTTATTCTTTGCCAATGTAAGTGGAAAAAAGAGGAAACATTAACTCAGGCTCAAGTTGTCTAGCTCCAGAATCTATAACTGCAACAAATTATTTACTGAAAGAGCTACAAGGGATCCAGGACTTCAAGGCAGCCGTGAGCTGGAACAAGCAGAAAGACTTAAACTACACAACAGTTACTATCAAGGTGCACAGAAGATACACACTGAAAATTTCAGACAGCTGGTTTCAGGCAAGAGTATGTGGTGGAAGCCAAAAAGAACTGTGGTTGAGTTGACCCCATCTGGACACCAGCTTCTCAGCAAAGCCATGAACTCACCTCCTTATCTAGAGAGGGAGAAAAAACATTGCAAAAAGCTCATGGGTCAAGATAAGGACAGGAAGAGATCACTCACAATCACCATTACAGGCAAAACAGACTCAACTGGGGGAAATTAGTTTATTGCCAAACAAATTAGAGTAAGGCAATTAGAGATGGAAATGAAATCTTAAAACACCTTCACCTCACCCCTCCCTTCTTCCAAGGCTCAACTCCACACCCTTCCACAGGGCGCAGCCTTTCAGGAACAGATTACCTCAGTGTAGGTATCCCACAGGGTCACAGATTCCCCACCCTGCAAACCTCAGGCAACCCAGAAACCAAAACCACCCGTGACACACCACCCTTGGCCAGCTTTTATACCGAGGCCCTGCCGGGCGGACCCGGGTCCAGCTCGGCAGCTCTATTGGGCAGCTCTTTCGTCAATCACCGTGAGGGGGCTGCCCGCGGCTCCGTTCTGCTCGCCGGGCGCTTGCGCGAGGCCCGCGGGCGTTTCCCGGGGGTACCGGGCCCGCGGGGGCCGGGCCTTGGCCGTGTCCGTGGAGCAGCGCCGTGGGAGGGGCCGCAGGCCGCGGCGGGGAGGGCCGGGTGACAGCGGCCGGGCGGCGGCACTGCGGGGCTGCAGCAGCGGGACGGGCCCGGCCCAGCCCAGCCCAGCCCGGCCCGGCCCGGCCCGGCCCAGCCCGGCCCGGCCCGGCCCTGCGCTCGTCCCGCCGACCGGCGGGTGGGCACAGAGAGGGCAGCGGCTCGGCCATGGCCAGCGGCGGCCCCGAGGAGGAGGAGGCGGTAGCGGGGGAGGAACAAGCCCTGAGGAAGCTGGTCGTCCGGCTCCAAAACGTCCAGGAGAGGAAGCGGCTGGAGACGCTGGTGCAGACCCTGAGCGACCTGCTCGAGCTGGCGGCCCGGCAGAGCGGTGAGCGCCCTGCCCTGCCCTGCCCTGCCCTGCCCTGCCGTGCCGTGCCGTGCCCCGTCCCGCCCGCCGCCGGTCGCTAACGCGGTCTCTCTCTGTCTCTGTCCCCCCACAGCTCCCCGGCTCTTCAGCGGCAAAAACGTCCACGTGCCCCTGCTGCTGGTGCTGGATCTGTACCCGGGAGCGGCGGGCGTGCAGCAGGTCAGGGCCGGGCGGGCCGGGGCCGCTGCCCCGCTCCGGCTGCGCTCCCGGGATGAGCGGGCGCGCAGCCCTTCCCGGATAAAAGCTCTTGTTCCGCTTGTTGATTTCTCCTTAACTTGCCCTGTGTCTCCTGGGCCGCTTCATGGAGTGCTCCGAGCTGTAGAAGGGCGCTGTCACCACTGGCATTTAAAGGGGACAAGCGTTCTAACTTACTGCAGACGCCACTGGCTGCGTCTCTGTTTTTACCGGCAGAAGGAGGCGGAATAGAAAATAAATATTAAGCCACGTGAATGCTGTGTAATGTAGGGTTCTAAATTACCAATAATGTTATCTAATATAATTTTGATGTGTCCATATTGAATTTTGCCATGGTTTGACAAACTTCCAAAATGCACGATTTTATACTATGAATTCATATATATGTAGCTATATCCTTGCGACTTGTGGTAGCATAGTTTTTTAAAGTCAGGGGGAATATTTTAGCTAAGAGTAAGTTCTGCAATTTAAGGTTCTGCCTACCTTCTCCTGTAATTTAACATTGGCCCATTTGGACTAGGTGTGGTACTTCCACAATTTGATGTTGTACTTATGGTACAGTTGCCAGACTTGTCATACAAAACAGCTCCTTCCTGGCAGGCATATATTAAATATCTGACTATACTATGCATAGAGGATGTTTATAAGCTCCAGATTTCTGTCCAACTCACTTGCTTCTTTTTTTTAATTATTAAGCAGTAGGAATATGAAGCAGCAGTTATTTTCAAGATAAAGCTCATTAGTTTATAAAATCTCTGCCCAGAAGTCTGAACTTGGAAATAAAACATCAATCATAACAAGAAGTAGGTGTGAAATGACAGCACAAGTCTCTCAGAATTGCATAAGGAAGATAGTGATTAACTTCAATTTTAACTCTCTTAAAATACTTCATTCTAATGCAGAATTTTAAAATTAATTTTAATATTCTATCTGCCTACATTTGCAGTCATACAGTGTTTCAGTTTAGAAGTTCTGGACCTCCTTTGCATTACTATGTTGTGTTGCAGTGGGAAATTCATAGCCAGTGCAAAGCTCAAATCCCATTCCTCATATAGTGTCTTGTACACCTCTCCTTTCACATTCAGTTCTGGTGTTTACAAACATTCACACTATGTAAGTAGAGATCTGTCTTATTGCTTCATTCACTGCTATTTGTTTGCAAACTTTGTGAATAAATTCTCACTTTACAGTGCTGGCAAAGTAATGAGGTCCTGATTTCAGTGCAGTCTCTTGGCACTTTTAATTTTTTTTAATTGACTTAAAAGTTAATCACCCTCCTTTTTACTTTTGGCATTATAAAAAAAATTACATAAGAGAATAAACACAGTCAGAGACATACCTGAAGTGAGAATTTTCTTCACCTCCCCTCCTTAACTGGTTAAAAGTATTGTGCGTTGCTGCTGTTCCACTAACTTGTGCAGAGTTAATTTGCCTAGTAGATCAATATAGCAGGTACTGGCCCAAGTCAGACTGCAGGCATAAACCCTGCAAGCTCCTTCAGAAATATGAAGGTACTGGTGTAGAAAGCCAGTAGTTCCTGTATATATATGTTTATGAATATAATTTATTTATATTTCTATTTATTATAATATTTAAGTAAATAAGGTAGTTTTCTGCCATTTCTCTGGCAATGATTGGAGCAGCTTAGAAACTCTAGAGCAAAATAAGAGTGCACTTGAGTAAAGAGCAGTCAATAGAGCTTTATTGTCTGACATAGATGGTGGGATCTAATGTAATATAAATTGTGTACTAGAACAAAAAGGGTCAGATTTTAAAATAATGAGTTTCATTGCTGCTACCAACTGTTCTGTATATAGGGACCTGTTTAAGTTTTTATAAGGACTTTTTTTTTTTTTTCTTTATTTCCCTTCCTTGTAACCTTTAGGATTTCTGGTTTTTAAAAGACCCTTGCTTTCTTACTTGAACTTCAAACAGCTAATAAGCTCTCTGTTACCTCAGGTTGTGATTTGAATATTGTAAGCTAGATAGAACACATATCAGCAGATCGAATGTTTCCATTGGTCTTCTCTGGATCCACAGTTCTGATAAATGTTTGTCAATACTTGGAGTCCTAACAATCCAAATAAAAATGTTCAATGGGAATATCAAATTCATCAGAAACAGTTAATACAGAAAGGAATTTTCTTAAGTAATTAACAAGTTTTCATCAGATATTAAATTTTATAAGAACAGTTAGGATGCTCTTATAAAGTGGGACTTCTAAAATAAAATGTTTTCTAAGGAATAAGCAGTTTATCAGTTGATAGTCACCTCTGCAATGTTTTTGAAATTTGTACCTAATTGACTGTCACCAATAAACTCTATTTTGCTTGGAATATGGAAAATTAGGGAATTATATATCCTCATCTTGAACTGATAGTTCCTAAAACTATTTATTGTACTTACATTTAGTTAGGACTCGGTTACATGGACCACCCTGAATGTCCATAGTCAGTGATTTGTAGTCTCATGCAGGGCAAGGCAGCTTGCTATCCAAGGAAAATAAGTGTATGGAAATTGGCTCATAGTCAAGCTCAATCTGCAGCCATTAAGGTTGTAATTGGTTTCAAATGTTTGTCTCTGCAAATCTGAGCTGAAATAGAAACAAAAGTACTGCAGATATGGGCTGTGCTCACACTGCAACCAAATATGTGAAAGACAAAAGTGGCATTCCAGTCCCCAGGGAGCTACATCACCTTTTGCACACTCTACAAAGCCATCAGGAAGGCTATCTAAATTCAAGTTTATGCTGTTCCTGTGGGTGACTCTACACTACCAGGCTTCTAATTCCATGTCTCTAGTCTTACTGATTGCAGGGTTAGGGATCATGCACTTTATATGAACTTTGCTGTTAAACTCTTTGGAGGTAGCCATTTACATTCCTGTTGTTGGCTGTCCCATCTTGACCTCTTTGCTTTGCATAACTCTTCTTTGAAAAAGTGATCCAGTTATGTATAGAGTCTTTGTGATATATTATTTTCTGCCTTGACTCTATTCTTAAAGCACAGAGACCTGCTTCCACCTTTTTATTTACTTACAGGCTCAAGGAAACTCACATGCCTTATTATAATTCCTGTCTGTAAAATCTGCTTCATCTTGACTTTTGACATTTCACAGTTCACTACTTGTCTTTCAATACAGAGGGATTTTCTTTCATCAGTCATTTCTTTCTACAAATTTTGCTTACTGCTTCCTCACTGCAGCCTATTCAGTCACATCAGCCTGTAAAAATTCATAGGAGAGCAGATTTCTCCAATACAGAAGATCAAAGAGGAGCTTTTTTAGCTTTTGTCATTGTTTACAGATATTTGAAAGTCAAAGAATTTGCATTTGATGGAATAGGTGGTTATTAAGAACAAATACATTTGGTTTAGTTGTCTTTCACTCCTTATGATCTCAAAACTTCTACTTCATTACATTTTGAAAGCACACGCTACTGAGGGTTGATGGGAAGAATATGAAATGTATGGTAATTGTTTATGTATCTCATTCCCATTTAAAACATTGAAGGCCTTTAAAAACCTATACTTCATCCTTACAATTTGCAATTAAATAGCAAGTTCTTATGCAAACGCACATTTTTCATTAAAATACACCTTCAATAGTGCAGGCATTTTCCCTGGCCAATGATAACATACTTTATCCTCAAGCAGTGTTGAAGCAGATTGAGAGTGATGTGTTCCTGCAAGCAATACAATCAGAATCATTAGCATATGTTTTACTTCCATCTTTTAACTTTCCATGCCATTTGTCTCGTCTTAATTAATTTTCCCTTACTGATTTAGCTAGGTAACAGAACAGCTGTCTTGCAAAATCCAAGAAAATTCAAAGACAATGTAGAAGTTCTAAGCAAAATATCTATTCTAAAATAGCTGCATTTTTGTTTTACAGATGGGCTGGTCACTTCTTTGTAAATTAATAGAAATTTGTCCAAGTACTCTACAAAACATAGCTCCTAAGGATGTTGGGAAGGACTGGGAAGTACTGGGAGTTCACCAGTAAGTATTTTGCATACAAAGAGTCTGCCAGAAAGCTTGGTCATTTTGGCAGGATATATATATGCAATGAAATTACATAAAGTTATTACATCAGCTTTTTTGTGCATTTCTTCAACCTTCAGAATGTGGCACACACAAAGAGGGATTTTATCCATGTATTTAAATACCTAGTGCAGAAAATAAAGGAGATTGAGCCAGGCCTTTTTTAGTGGCACTCAGTGACAGAATGGGAAGCAAAGGGCCCAAATTTAAATACATAAAATTCCACTCACACATTAAAAAAATAAAAAAATCCTAAGTAAGCTTTCTGACAGAGGCAGTATTTACCTCGATGTTCATGTGTTTTTTCCAAATGTGAGGAATTATGTCCACAAGCCTAAAGTAGTGTAAATCAAGAAGAGGAGGTTTTGTCACACCTGTCATTATTGTCTAAAGGTAAGTATTTACACTGATCTCCTCAACTACCTGTGAATTCAGTGGATACAATTACCTTCAGAAGGGATGGCTTTTTTCTATCTTTTTAGTAAATGGAGCAAATTGCGATTTGGACTCACTCATCTCTCATCCTTGAGCTGTCAAAGGAAACCTAAGCAAGTGTTTTCTGGATGTCTGTGGTTAGATGGGATGAACACCCACATAGGTTGGCTGAATTGTTGCCCAGTAGCACAAATGCTAATTGTAGATATAGGCATGATGCACATGGGGGTTGGTTTGGGAGCTTGGTTAGGTGTTCCCGCTCTTGGGCAGATTGCTGCTTTCAGGGCTGATAATGACTGCAGCGCTTAAAGCGCTTAAAGCGCTTAAAGCCTTATGATCCCGTGAATCTGCCTCCATAGTCCTTACCACACCCTTCTTAGGAAAGTTGCTGTTGAAAAATATCATGAAGATGCATTTCGATTTTGTGGGGGTTTGTTTATTTGTTTTATAGTGGCTAGAATACATGGTCAGTAGGGAATGAACTCCCCTGAAAGTGCTGGCAGTTTCTGTTGGAAAGCAAAAGTGATTTGGGTTGCTTTTCCTGGGCAAGAAATAACTCAGCTTGGCAAGAAATAACTGAGCTGAAGCTGCACTTGCTGGTTACAATTTCTTTGGTAGCTTAAAAGCTTCTTAATTGACTGAAAGTTATCCTGAGAGCTGGAGATACTGCTGCTCATTCTCAGGTCCCAGAAAAAAAAATACTTTCTGGGACTGATCTTTCCTACAGCCTCTTCAGCACCACAAAGCATCCTTTTCAAATTCAAACTTCACTAAAGAGCTGATGATAGCATTGCTGTACATGATTCCTTCTCGGTAACATCATTTTAGCCAACTCTGTATCCCTGTCTGACCTCTTGACAGTTTTCCTTGCTGGGGAAAGGCTTAGTGAGGAAATAGACCCAGGCATTTCTGTCAGTGCCAAAGGCAGAGCAAGCCAGCTAAATTATGTCTCATGTTCCTTGAGCATGGATTGTACTAGAATTGCTGTGAATCATCACCATAACAAATACATGCTGTTTACAGCAAGGCAGGAAACAGTTAAAATAGAAAAGGTCATTTTTTTCAGGAGATTCTCCCTTTTGTTTGTGTAACTATTTTGAGAGAATAGGAATATTAAACTAGAAAAAGCATTTTTTTTTGTCTCTCAGCTGTGAGAGACAAAACTTGACTACACTGCAGTTATGTTTTCAAATGGTGATATCAATGCTTCTAGAATTTTTGTTTTTCAAGAGGTGTTACAGATTTTTAGTCGCTATTTTACAGATAGTAATTTGAGTAAAGTATGTTGAAAATATCTACTGATTTTTAAGTGCCCAGGTTGATGCATGACCTGAATTTTGCAGTACTTGGCACTGTTTGGCTCTCTCTGTTTAACAAGTTAGAATAGACTTACAGAAAGTACTGGGTGTGCAACTGGCAGTCTAGGAAATATTTCTTTTTAGTGGTTTGTCCAGCATCATGTAAGTGCTTTAGGGCTGAAACAGGGTAGAGCTCATCAAGATGCTGTTCAAGTTCTTCAGCTGGGAAACTGCTGCTTCTCTTCCACCAAACCATTGGTTGTTGTTCAGTGTAACTGAGCTCTTGCTGCAAGCAGAACTGTGCTGTCCACACTATGTGGTGCTTCACAGACCAGTTCTCTGGAGGGTAACCACCTCCTAAACAATCCCACACAATTAGTTAATATAACTGACTAAAAATTAAAGTAAGTTGGATAAATTATACCTCAGTATTTTAATTAACTATGATCATACTTGAAATTCCAATATTACTTCATTGGTAACTTGAAAAAATATAAACTGAAATAATTATTTTTAATTATCTGAGAGCTTTTTAAGATTCTGCTGATTTCTGTAACTACTACTGTTTTCAAAGTAAATGTTTGATAAAAATTTGTATGTGTCAAAATTTCTTTAGCTATAACTCTTTTTTCCCTTTTCTTTGTCTTTAATTTTTAGGCAGATTCTTAAAATGCTTACAGTCCACAAAGGAAATATAAATCTTTCAGTAATAGGACTAAAAGCATTAAATCTTCTTCTCATGTCAGGTATTGTGTGCTTTACTTTCTTATTTCATCTAAGCCTTTAAAACATAGAGATGATACAAAGTGTGTGACTGTACATGGCAGACTGGATTTTTATCTCTGTTTTACTCTATGTTTTACTCTCTCTGTTTTACTCACTTGTCATTTGTACATGTATATAAAACAATAAGAGTGCTATTTTGAAACTTTTTTTACCAGGCAGGTATGAACTGTCTTTTGGTGGTAAAGTTTTAGAACATCAGTACTATTATAAAATGAAAATGCAACCTTAAGAGATAGCTTTGACATGGGTTATACAAAGCTGGATTTGAACTGTAAGAGTAAACTTTAAGGACAGTATTAAAGAGTTTTGGATTTTATGGTGTTTCAATGAAAATATTGAGAAATAATCAGTGCAACATGTAATCTCTTCTGCTCTTCAGACATAATTGCTTTCCTGCTCTTGGAAGAAGAGGTGGATGTCTTTTCCTTGGTATTTAATGCCATGCACACCTTCCCTAAAAATGAAGAGATCCAGCAGCATGGATGTAAAGCGTTACACAAACTTTTTGAGAAAGGTATTTTAAGTTGTAGTTTATGACATTAAAAAAATGTATTGATTGGGAGGGATGACAGATATTAATTCAAAGGCAATAAAAAAATTTTTGCATTCCAAATTGGTTTGTGGATTATGTCTGTTCTTAAATGAGCTGGCACAAAACAGACTTTCCATGCAATATCACAAATTCTATAAATTAAAAGAATGAATATGACATCTTTTAAAAAATCAAAATGTCCCTTCATTTCTAACTCCAGGGTTAACTGAATAGATGGGATTTAACATTGGTCAGTAACTGAAATAAAGAATAGTGACATTTGATTTTAATTCTCAAAAACAGGATTGTGTATTTAAAACTGGTAAATTTTAGTAGTGTGAACAGTTCTAAAATCAAACAAAATGTTTATACCTTATAAAAATACTTTTATATATTTATACCTTAGAAAAATACATTTTAATCTGACAATGCTAAAAGGTGATCATATGTCCATACAATAGTCCCATTTATGCTGAAAACTGAAGTCATCCTGTATTGAATTTTTGCAGAAACCTCAGGAATTGTGCATTTTACAGCCAGAAGTCCCCTTGTTGTAGTCCCTTTGCTTTGAATTGAGTTTCTTGATTCAAAATAAATATTGGGAAATGCTATCACTCTGCTGTACTTTTTTGATTCAAAGGTAGTCTCCAGTTCTTCAGATTGGTTCTTTTTGGCACCATTCTATATTGCTTCTTTAAGTTTATCTCCCAAATAAGTGCTTGGAATTAACTTCTCTGTTCCTTTTCCTCTTCCTGTCCCTAAATACTTTTGCCCTGCTATATTTTTTCTTCAGTCTCCACAACAGTCTAAACTTCTTATGTTTTCTGGGCATGTTTTTTGTAAGTGCCAGATTTTCACAGATCTGGCTGCAGGTACAGACCTGCATACCTTCTTCTTGGTGGCAGCATCAATGTGACAAGTTCCTAGGATGCTCCTGCCTTGTTTTCTCTACCTGTGAGCCACCTTGTCAGTTTTTGTTATGTGAGTGTTTGCATAACCTTATCTTCAACCAGATTCAGAAAACAATTCTTCTTGTGAAATTTAAGAGGTGCTCTTTCTCATCCTGGGTCAGTTCCCTTATGTGCTTCATTGCACAGCCACACAGTTATGTCAGTGTGAATAACAGGGGCCAGGAAGGGAAAAACCTTAAGCCATTAAGGTAAGATATTATTAAAGTGTGGCTTTATGGGAAAAAAAACCATTATTAAAAAAAAAAAAAAAAAACAAAAACAAAAAACCAAAAACACAAAGTATGCAAAATGGCATTCCCCATTCACTAATTTTTTTTTCACACTGTATGCTTAGCTTTCCCTCACTTATATACTGTCTTGTTTGAACTATGTGGAAATTTGGCTTGGATTAGCGTTCTGTGAAAAAGGCTAAAAGACTTCTAAAACACAGATTCACAAAGTAGCATTTGAAAGTCAGAACTCAATTACATAAAGTGTAAGCTAGAAAAGGTGCTTATAAAGTAGCTCAGTTTTTAGAGTTTATAAAATAGCTCAGTTTTTAGTTAAAAAAGCCATAATCATGGAAGATTATATGTGTAGAGAGTACTTTGCTTTCTGTGAAACAGAAAATAAATATAAGGAAAGTTGATAAAAACAGTTGCCTTTTCTCATGATGCACCAGGATAAGAATTATTTCCTCAAAACATACTGTATCTCTTGCCTTTCAATTTAGTTCCAGAAGAGCAGCTGACTGAATTTGTTGAAAGCAAAGATCATATGATCATACTGAAAGTATTTAAAGAGTTTCCAGAGAAAGAAGAGGTGATTCTTCCTGCACTTTATTCATTACATTCCTTAGCTGGTCCACGTAAGTATTAGAAGTTATTTTCAATTCCTTTTCTCCCACAGGGTACATCAGCTGTTGCTTTCTCTAATTGCAAAAAGTAATCCTTGTGTGATTGCAAAAAATCATTGAGAACTGGCTGGGAATTGCCAGACAAATCACCTTCCTGTTTTCTTTGGGAAATACCCATTTTAAAAACTGGATATTTTTTGTATTTAACCATTAAAGCATAAATCTTTCCTAAATAACGGAAAAAAAATCTTTCTTCCTGTTGGAGTGAGTGGTAGCAAAGATGCTTATCACGGTTGTAGAGACTGAAGTTTCAAAACTTCAAGACTCTGCCCTGGCATCTTTTATTACTTGAAAAAATAAGATATATTTATTGACTAAATAAATCTTCAGTGAGTTCAGGTCACAGGTAAAGAATATTCTTGGCAAATTCTGTCACACAAAGGAAAATTGCCCATACAAATTCAGTGGCCAGGCCTGGGAGAAAAAAAATCTGAGTTCAGACACTTGTTGTGGTCATTCAGTGGTGGCTGCAATGGCAAGCATTGGTAGCACTGTGGATGTGGTAGTCTTACAGTGTCCTCAGGTGTGCAGTAAGACTGGAAGAAAATGTCTTTTTTATCTCTTATCTTCCGGTAACAGCAGTCCCTGTTCTGTGCAAAATCAGATCCTGAGAAATGTGTTTGAGGATTTGTGTCAATTTGTTGACAGCAATCTGATCTTGTTAACACAGGGGCAGGTTTTGTCAGCTTCCTGCTGACAAATTTTGGGAAGCATAGAGCAGGGTTCTGCTCTCCATGTCTTTCATGAGGTGCATAATGTTGTACCTCCTGCAAATGTGTTTACTTACAAAGTCTTGCCTGTACATCCTGTCTGGCTCTATAGGAACTGTGCTGGCCCCATGAGCACCCACTGAACAAGAACTAGACTGAAGTGTCCCACATTTCATCAGACTCCAAGCTATCTAGTTCCTGTTTCTCAAAATTATTGCTGTTCCAGTTTGTATTTTAAAAGTTTAATATCCCTTGAGTCAGAAGTAATTTTACCTTAGCCCAGAAGTTACTGCTGTTTTCTAGGGAAGAGGATGCCAGATTTTAAATTCTTTTCAAAACAGTAAATAGCTATACAAAGTGTAACAAGAGAAGGCATGAGAAAGATGTGCTCTGAAGTAGGTATTTAATACTCTCATTTCTAATATGAAATATTGAAAATAGCCAGAGGAACAGAAACTACTCGCACATGAATGTTCAAAGCTGGTGTTCATACTCTTGGTTGGTGACATCCCTCAAGAACTCAACAAAATATATTCCTCTAGGGCCACCACAGAGAAGATAATTCAGTGTTAAGTACACACTATAACTTATCCAGTAACAAATGTCTCCCCATACCCTGAAGTTCAAGTCTGTTCTGAATCAGTACCTCGCTATGCCTTCTTTCATTAATTCATACTTAGACTTGGTTCTGGCTCATGTTGTAAGAAATTGTAGGATAAGGGTGAACAAGAGCTCTTTAATCTCAGTAGTATTTGTGGCATGAGAAAAATGCTTTGCTGCTGACTGTCCTCCAGTGTGGAGTGGTGGATTACAGAGTGTTGCCCGTCTAAATGGCAGGCGCAGGGAACCAGCCAGGCTTGGGCTCTGTTTAGCAAGGAGGAACAGTCACCTCAAGAGGAAACTTACCTAACCCTAAACCAGCTGGGTTGAGTCACCATACAGAGTGCTCAGATCTCATCATCAATTGTTGAGAGAACCTAGATGACCAAGTTTTGGTGGTTAAGGTTAAATGAGATCTGTTCCACCTCTTTTTCTCTAACTTGTTCTGGGATATGGTGACTCGCTGCAGATTGCCATTGCTTGGATCTTGCAGATTTCAACATGCAGTTCATCATGCTGTCTCTGTAGTGATCAATTTTGGAATTGTCTATTTTACTTATTCATAAGCATCACCTTTGAAATCATAACTTACTGTGAGGTGATGGAATACTGTTTTGTGGAATGTGTGTTTTCAGTTGAGAATGACATGATAAATGGCTGTCCTATTAAAGCATTGTGAAAGGTACATTCCTTCACTATCAAATAGAGTGCTTCAGAAATGCTTCCCACTCAGAGCTTGCTTTTTCATCTGGTAGGTTGTCATTATTTAATATTTAGAGATGTATTATTTTAAAGATTTGCTGCTCTTTTAAAAAGGGTAATTATCTTTAATAATACAGTTATGAATATTTCTCTTATGTTGTATCCAGGGAAGCCAAGCTGTTGAAAGAACAATTAAGAAAATTTATAGACCTCAGCAGAGTACTGCTAGCACCCTTGGAGGCTGACAGGACTCCCTTTCATCCATTTGGGCCAGCATTTTGGCCAAGATTTCTTGGGTTCATATTCTGTCTCATACCCTGAATAGAAATACTACAGGGATGCTTTCATACACTCTGTTTTAACTACCATGATGCTGTTTTGCCTGAAATTACTATATGTGGGATCACTCTGTCCTCAATTGCAATGGATACATTCTGTCTTGGTATGGGCTCACGTGATTGTCCTGTTGGTTTCTGTATCTGGCCTGAGTAATAAAAAGTAAACAGGGTGAGAGTGATCAAGCTCTGGCACAGTTTTCTTGGAGGAGCTATGAAGTTTCTGTCCTTGGAAATACTCAGAAGCCATCTGGACAACCTGCTGTAGACAGCTCTGCTTGAACACGTGGGTTGGACACAGTGACCTTTTAGTTGTTCCTTCCAACATCAACCTTCTGTATTCTGTGAAATACAGGGTATGCAATGGCTGTCAAAATATTGCAGGAACATTGGATGAAAATTTCAGTACTCTCAGTACACAACAGGTGTACAGTAGAACTAATTTGTATTAAAACAATAAGTTCCTAACTTGTCCCCTAAAAAAGAAGGAAAACTCAGAAATTAATTATTAAATCAAATAAATTACTGCAGAATAAATTTTATGAGAAAATAAATTCTAAATTTTTTATTAATTTTATGTCCTTGAAATATTACTTAAATATTACTGTAAAATGTGTATTTGATTACAATCATGCTAGAAACACCATTTACAAGACACACCCAATTTCCTCCATCTTGTCCCCTTTGAACCCCTAATCTAGAATCCTAAAATTTTACTTTTGCACACTTAATTATTACTTATATCAAACACTCAGAGCTTGTAATTCATCCTGTAAGATTGAAAACTCTTTTCCATGGACAGAGATCACAGACAGTGTCTCTCGGGGCTCTGTACAGGGGGGTCCCTGACCCCCTGCCAGGGTCCCAGGCCTGCCAGGGCAGACAGAGGGAAGCCCTGGATTCCCACAGGAAGAAAATTCCTAGCAGTTGATTATAATTCCCTAGGTAAGAAAACATTGTTTTAATGAATAGTTTCCAAATGTTCATAGTAATTTATGACTTTTATAACCATATGAAGAAATAAGGCACCTTTCTTTCAAGATGCAAGGCAAAATCTCTAATATAGTCACAGTTATCTAAATAAATCTATTTAACTGAAGTCTGAATTAGAATCTAGTCAACTTATTTTTTTTCCCTCTCCCTTAAGCAGTTTTTGTTTCTGTTTCTTCCTTTAGCCAGCAATGTTGAAGTGCTCATGTCGGGAAATGTTCGCTGCTACAATGTTATAGTGGAAATGATGAAGAGTTTCCCCAGTAGTGAAACAGTTCAGGAAGTGAGTTGCTGTTTGTTGCACAAGCTTACATTGGGTAAGTTCACAAAGTTGTTTATATAAAGTCAGCTTATTCTGACTGTGTAAGAGTCGAAGTTAACTGGGAGCATTTATAGGCAAAACCTGCTATTCCAGTAAATCCTCAGGGTGGTGCATAGATCCTTGTGTTTAATGATGCAAAACCCTGGCCACAGTCAATATGGTGTCCTTATGTGTTAAATATAAATAACAATGAGCAGCTGCCATAGACTCAAGTTAGAGATAAGTAATCAGACAAAAAAGGGTGATAAGCACAACAGGAGAATGGGAAATCAGTAGGTCTGATGCTGTATAAACTTACTATAGAAAAGAAGAAAATTGCTTAGAGATTTCATTTTTTTGAAGTGCCAGTGGTGAATGTGTGAAAAACAACTGGTGCTACAGAATTAGTTGAAAAGTATTGTCTAAAACTCTAGCTTACCTCCTTGCAGTGCATTTATCTTCAGAGACCTGTGCTGCATTCCTGACAGCGATGATGCCTGTCTTGACCCCCCCTGTGCTGCAGCAGTGAATGAATCACTGGATTCTGGACTTGCCTTGACTTGAACAAAAATGCTTTACTTGTCTTGGCTAACATGGGCTGGTGTCACATCAAGAGAAATTATGTCAGTGGCAAAAAGTTGTGCCTCTTAGCAGCTCTGTTCTCACACTTGAAACTGTAATAAATCCATTTGAGCACTTGCCAAGAACCACGTAGTAGGAAATTCAAATTAAAATAAATGTTTCTCCCCCTGCTGCATGCAAGCCAACTGTGAGCAGCTGCCTGAGCAGCCCTCATTCCATGGCTGGTTCTTATTAATCAAGAGTTAGACTTCCCAATTTTTGCAGGTGGTGTTCCGAAGGTACTGCAGATGCTGGTACCAGTGCATGACTCCCCACAATAAAGTCAGTGCTGTCCTTTCACCATCTGTTTCCACTTCTTCATGCAGATATGGTAGAAAATACAGATCAGACCTGAGTGCAACCCAGAGCAATTTTCCATTCCCCTTTAGAAAACCAGATAAGATTTTTAAGGAAATGTAGTGGCTGCTGAGGTGGTAATTGCAGGGGTTTTGGCAAGAGGTGATGCTAGCCTTGAACAGTTTGCTGTGCAAGGCTCACTGAAGATAGGCAGGGAAACCAAGCACTTGTGGGGAAACAGCAGCTTGGTTGACAGGCCTTGATCTTGCTGTAAGTGCAACCAGCCTGGTTTCAATCAGATGTTTGCCATGTGTTTATGCTGAACGACAATGAATAGTGGCTGAAGAACAGTCACAAGATCCTTTTCTTCTTTGAGCCCTTCATCTTAATCACGAGCTACTGTAGTAGAGTTATGGAAGAGGTGTTCACAGCACCTTGCAGTTATGCGAACAGATGTGAAATTGTTAGGTGCTCCTGGAAATAGTCTGGAAGATTTTCATAAGTATAGCCAGTGTTGCTTCCCAGATTATTCTGATGAGTGCTGTCTTCCTAAAGCCATGTTAACTGGCAGTAAATGGTAAAGTTAGCATCTACTAGCTTCCAAAATCAGCGTCATGCATTCTTGCTAATCTGGTAATGGCTATCCTAGATTTGACTGTCTTTGGAATTTTAACTGGCTGATACCTGTTTGGCCAGCCCAAGTCCAACAGAATTCCTCATCACATAGCCTAGGTTTGTTAATTTCTTTAGGTAAGTAATGCATTCACACAAACATACCTTTTCCATTAAAATATGTAAAGAAACAGCAATGCTGATATAACATGACCACACAACTGATCTTTCACATTACTACTCTGATTCTCATTTTTGCTTATCAAGATTTAAATGAAATTGAATTTCAAAATAGAAGCCATAGCTATCAAACCATATTTGACAAAGTGAGTGTTGGTCTGTTACTTTTTGCATAATACTTCCAAACAAGGAAGGTATTTGAATTTGCTTGCTTTTTGGAGAGTGCCTTATATTCAGCCTGTAATACAAAATACTGTACAACTTATAATAATTGTTATGCTTTAAATATATTTATTATCCAAAGGCTTTCTTCTGTTCCAGAAGGAATCTATTCTATATTTATTATGCTGGCCTTGATTTATTTAATAAGGAGGGCAAAACCAGAGAGTAAACTAGGGTTAAATTACTTGTGTCAAAGGATAAATCAAATCATTGCTTCCTGGCAGGAAGTTAGCAAGTGATACACCAATTGTATTTTTCTCATTTTGATGACAGTGTGTGTTTCATTTTGCATTAAACTTCTGCCTCTTGTAAAAAAAAATTAAAAGGCACACAAAGAATGTAGATCCCTTTTTTTTTTTTATCCTTAACCTCTTATTTCTACAAATAAAATTTTGGTGTCAAGCCCTGTAGTAAGAAAAACAGCATTTGTTACAAAGTTTGTGCATTGTGTGCTGAGAAATTTATATTAAACGCATGTAAAGCTCTAGATATATGTTTGTATTAATTTGATATCTTATCTGGTTTCAGGAAATTTTTTCAATATCCTTGTATTACATAAGGTTCCAGAAGTCATTGTGAAGGCTGTTACAACATATCCTGAAAATGCAACGTTACAAGCTGCAGCTCTCAGTTGCTTGGCTCTTCTAAGTGAGTAAATCTCTGTCTACTTGTTAACTTTTTCACTCTAGTAATTTCCTATAATAATTTCAAACTCCATTTCTATAACACAAAAGCCTCAGGCAGGACAATTTCAACAAAGCTGGATTTCCTACATGATTACAGTTTGCTGTTTCACTATGATAAGACTGTTCATATCATATGCCCAACATCTGCACCGTGTTCAGAGCTGGTAAGTTATGTTCACAGATCTGAACAGAGCAAGCTGTTTATTCATAGACAAATTTTGGATAATCCCTACGTAACATAACATCTCCAGTGATAAGAACACAGATTTGATGTTGTGTTTGCCAGGTATGACAGTACTCATATTGTGGCAGTTGATAGCAACACAAAACCAATGCTTGAGCTTGAGTTCTGAAATCAATTAAAAGATGTAAACTTTTCTTGAATACAGTTCAGTCATAAATTAGTTAGCTAGTGGGAAAAAAACTAAGAATCTAATCCTCTTTGTCCTTTAGTAATTGTTTAATATAAAAGTCAGTATAAATGCTGTTTAAGAGTCCCCAAAATAGCAAAGATTGGATATCAGTACACATTCCATTATGCCTCAGATATTATGCTCAGTGTTGGTATCTCTTTCTTTCCCTTAATTGCTGAAAATCACAGGTAGAAAATTATATATTTCAAATGCTGTTGCACTTTCTGGGCTATTTCGCTCTTAGCAACTGCAATTTGCATTTTGTTTTTTAATAGCTGTTGTTTCAAGGTGTAGATGGCTCTGTAATAAGTGGTTCCATGCAAATGATTCACAGTTATATTTTATGTCTGTGGTATTCTGTACATAAATACACAACAAAAAGAGGTACATGCAGGTCTTTTCAGAGCCAAAGCCTAGGCTGATCTGTAACTATGTGACCCGTTTACTACACTACACTTAAGTTTTTCACTCCTTTTATAACCTTGAAGACATTTTTCAAGTCTGTCTCAGAGTTTATATCAAAAGATATCTCCCTTCCCAGAAAAGGCTTATCTTCCCACTGTTTTTCACACATATTGCCAGTGTGAGTGCCTCCATGACTACAGAAAGGTTAAGACATAGGTGTTTTGGTTCACAGTAAGAATTTATTGTAAATATTTTATATTTCAAGCTGAAACAATATTCTTAAACCGAGACTTAGAGGAAAGAAAAGAAGAGGAGGAGGAAGAAAAGTTATGCTGGTTGGAAGCGTGTTACAGAGCATTAGAGCTGCACCGAAAAAATACAGATGTGCTGGTAAGAAATTATGGGTGATGGGAATATGGAAAGACTGTATTATGTATTGAATAAAATGTTTAGAAGCATACTTTTCTCATCCATATCCTCAGGCAAAAAAAGACCTTAATGTCTGACCTAGATTTAGAATAAATCTTACCTTTCCTGCCTTTCTATGTTCATCTAAGAGATTTTAGTTACTTCTTCGGATGAAATGTAGGTAGTTAGGATGAAGCTTGTACCTGAAGCTTTGACCATGCAAAGACTGTTGTTTACATACCTCTTTTGTATACAACAGCCAAACACAAGCCCGTCAGCAGAAGAATTAATCTTGGCCTAAAATAGATATCAAAATGCAAATCAAATAATGAGACTGTCACACATATTTGTAACTCGGGCCTATCTGAGCTATAAAGAATATTACAGTGTACATTTTGTTATATTTCTACATAAAGTGCCTTGTACCTCTTTTGTGAACTGAAAAGCAAACTATTTAAGATTTTTCATATATTTTTATCTTGTAGAGGTATATTTTCTTAATCTTTTTGTCTTGGCTTATATTTAGGAGGCTGCGTGCTGGGCTTTGAAAAATCTGTTTCTGTATCAACGCAACCTTCATGAGAAGATTGGAGATGGTGATAATCAGTCAGTGTTGTCTTAACCCAGATTTTTGGAAATGAAAAAAAATGAGTGTCTGTTATTAAGCTATTTGATGTTTCACTTTTCAATTATTTTTAATATTGTAGTAGATTAAATGCATGATGATCAATCACACCTGGAAAAGTTTCTTCCAAAGTGTGCTAACCTTGACTCAGGAAAATCTGCTAGTGTTTTCATAAAGGGTCAAAACACAGCCTATTAGAGCTAACTTTTACAGTTCATAAGGATATTGTCTTCAGTTGCAATAGGGATAAAGAATGTAAGAACTGGGAAAACAGAGAAGATTAGAATACCTAGCATGTAAGGTGTGTAGAAAAGCAGTGCTCATTTTCCCACAAAACAGATGAAAAGGCATTGTAGAGGGGATGCTGCCTCATTAGGGAGAATTTACTGGACATGGATAAGACACAAAATTCCTTTTACTTAAACTATATCTCAGAGTTTCTTAAAATTTTAGTCATTCAGTTTTTGTAAGCCTGTTCATGGCTTCCATGGAAACATGGTTTCACGTTTCCTTTCTGGACCTCAGGTCCCTTGGAAATTCAGGTCCCTAGGAATTCAGTGAGACTCAGACTAGACAAAGTTGCATAGGTTAAAAAGGGTTTTCTGTCAGCTGTTGCTCTGGAAACATATTAGAAACCAAGAGCAATCACCTGAAATTGTAATTATGTAATACCTTTTTAAGAAACTGAACTTCAATTATGAAGTAATTGCTGTAATACTAATCAATGTGCAGTGATTTGTTTCTCTCTGAAAGGTTCCCAATTGATAGAGAAGTGATGCTCTCCATGCTGATGCACTCCTCTTCAAAAGTGTTTCAGGCAGCTGCTAGTACCTTGGCAATTTTGTCACAACAAAATGGTAAGGGACTTTAATTAACTTTTCTTTCTCATTCAGCAGAAAGTTATTGCAAAAATATTAAAGGGAATTTAGTGTATTGTTGAATTAATGCAATGCTCCCGGTGATTAAAATATTATGTTATTGTGATAAGTAGGAGGTTTATTCCTTGCTTTGAAAAAGTTACTGTTGGCTAGTATCAAAAAATATGAGGAAATAAAGAGCTCTCTGCCAGTTTATGTGTTGCAATTACTACTTTTTGGAGTAGGAGACATGAAAAAAACTGTGCTCTCTTTGTATGCTTGTTTAAATATTTATCACATGCTTGAATTTCGTCAAGAGGAGCATTTGTTGAAAAATCACATGACTAAGGAACACAGCCCAATAAATACCACTTTCTTGCTTAACACAGTCCTATTGACTTCACTGGATCAAATTGTGTAGAAACTTAAGCATGTGCATGACAGTTTTCAAGATTGCTTCACTCCTGATCATGTCCCTAACATGGTTTCCTAACTTTTTTCAATTTGGAGACCCCCTCAAAATTTTTCAGTGGAGATGTGGACCCCTGAGTAGAGTATTTTAGCCTACTGACAGTTGGCCTGCTTTTATTAGATAACTTTCACAGAATCCTTTGAAATGGTTATGGACCTCAAGGGATTTGCATACTTCACATGGAAAACCACTGGCTAGATAGGAAGAAAAATCCTAGCAGTTAATTACCATTCTATAGGTGAGAAAGCATTGTTTTATCACCAGTTTATTGAGCCATCCAAGTACATAAAACCTAACACAGAAAAGGTTTTATAATTATTTATGAGATCAATATGTATCTATACTGAGAAATAGACCTCATAAATGTATGCATACTATTGTCATGTACCAGGTACTCTCATAGCATGTTCCTGACAATTGGGCCTCTGATTCCTTTTGGAAGTCTAAAGCAAGTTTTTCTTCTTTTTATTTTTAATTAGTATTCTTTTTGTTTTCCCCCTCAAGTAATGTGCTTACAGCAGAAATTATAGACATAAAGAAGCTCAGTAAAACCTTCTGGCATAATGCAGTATTGCTTGAACTAACCATCTGCAATGGATGTACTGAACTGGGAATAACAAGATTTGGTGGTAGTTACTATGATAATTTTAATATTGTTCTAATTTTTATTAGTTACAGTTATAGCTACAACTTGTGCTTGGATATTTGAATTTGCAAAAAGTGAATTAACAAAGTAAAGAGAATTAATAAATATAAGTTCATTTTTTAAGTTTAATTTTGGAAGTTATAAGGGTTTTTTTTAAGTTTTAAGCTCTAGCTTTACTACATGATCACAAAATGCAATTACAAGGGAAAGGTTTAAGAATGAACATTTCTGAAAATATAAGTGAGACAATACATTCTTCTTCCCATGTTAACATTACCTAAGTAAAAGTAGCAGATGTATAGAAACTTACTAGACAGTCGGAAATTACAAGGCATTTGATTAAGCTATGCAAACATAAGTCAGCTTCAGCTCAAATTATTTCCCATTTTAATTTATACTATAATGACTGTTTGATGAGGCAAAAACATTGAAAAAAAAAAGTTGGTTTTGAGAACTACAGAAAAAGAGATTTACTTATAGGATGCTTGCTCTTTTGTGTTTTAGTAAATATTAGGAAGACACTACTGGCTAAAGGCATACATATGAATGTTTTGGATATAATGAGGAAACATCCACATTCTCCTGAAGTGGTTGAAAGTGCCTGCAGGATTCTGAATCATGTTTTTGAAGGAAGGTAATAAAATTAGAAATGCATGTCCACTTTCATGGTGAAGAGTTTTGAGATTCTGTGCCAAGAGTGATTACATTTAAGTTGTTGACCAGTAGTGGCAGTGACCACAAACTGACAGCCCTGTTTAAGACATGGAATTTGGTAAGCCCTGTAGTCAAATGCCCAGGTGGGGAGTGTATGTAGGGAGCTGCATGTTCTTCCCTTCATGATTCTTGAGCAGTGAGATTCAAATAGACAATTACTGGGTAGTCTCCCCTTCTGTTAGGCACACTGAATTCCATTGAGAGATAAGAAATTTCCCACAAAATTACCTCTGATTATTAAAATACCATTTTGTTAATATTACTTTTTTGTTGGCTAGGATGCAATTGTTTACAGACTGAATTAATTGAATGGCATGAAAATAGTTTGCTATGATGAAGAAAAGTACCACAGTTTAATTTATGTTTTAGATTTACAATGTTCCAAAGGGTTATCATACAGTGTTAGTTAAGGAAAAATACATGTGAAATTTGGAAATGCATTATTTTTATTTATTTTATAAACAATATTTTCAGTTTCCCTCATCTGGATGTAATGACAGTAGCAGTATCAGAAGTTGTAAAAGCCATGAGGAAACATGAAAAATCACTCTCTGTACAACTGGAAGCACTTCGAGTCCTTTTACACTTCATGATACCCAGTAAGTCATCCAAAAGCATACACCAAATCGGAGAATAGAATCAGATAGCTGGGTTTTAGTCTTTCTTATTTAATGAGACAGCCTTTAATGGGCAAAAAATTATTGCAGTTCTGTACATAGCAGAGAACAGCCATAAGTCTTTAGCAACATACAAGATGGGAGAAAATATTTGAGGTATTGAAGGTAACAGACCAAAATTATCACTGCTGATTTCCTCTTGATTTCAGCAGTGAAGAGTTAGCCCCATTCCTTCTAAGGAATTTATGGAGAGAGTATTGAGCTATCAGTGTCATTGTGGTTTGCATCATCAAGACCTTTAAGTGAGAGCAAACCATGATAATGACATGAACATTGTTGTACCACAAAATGCAATTGTTTTGATAGTGCCTCTATCAAACATAAGGAACATAAAAACTGGACAGTGATCTATTAAAGATATAAAATATGTACATATTTTCTATCAAAAAGGAGAAATCAAACTGACTTGTTTAGTTAGCAGTTCCTTTTAAAAAAAAACAAACCTCTTTATCAGCAATCCAGAGGGTGAAAAAATGCTCTTCACTAATTTTATGGCTTTAGAATTTTGGAAAAGTTTTAACTCTTTTTGTCAGTGTACTGCTATAAATCTTGCGTTTTTCCTCTGATATTGAGTGTAGGAGTACAGAAATGGGTACTGATTTTTTTTTCAGAGCAACTTTTTGCAAGTATCTCTCAGCAGTATGAGCTGAACATTTACAAAACTAATAACTCTGAAAATAGTAACCTGGTTTATATGCAGACTGATTGCAGGTTTTCTGTTTCCTTCTATTGTTTGAGTTCTAATCCTAATACTTTCCTCTTTATCAATGAAGAGCAAGATTTAGATTTGATATATGTGTTCTAACATGGGGGCGAGCTGCTTTGCTTGCCAGTATCCTGGAAGTGAGGCCCTTCTAAAGTGTAATCAAACACAGAATGCACCAACTGGATGCAGGAACTTGTAGGTTAATTAGGGAATAAAAAATTAATTCATGGGAAAAATAATAATCACAATAAATATGAATGCTGAAGTGACTTTGAAAGGATCTCTGGGTACTATCTATAGTGTCACTTGACTGCAAGTGCCAAATGCTACAAGAAGGGTAAATCTGAAAGACCTTTTTTTTGTATATGCTGATACTCCACTTAATGTCATCTGTGTGTAAAATTTGTCGTATGATGTGCTGCCAAGTGAGCAAGAACAAATAGTTTATAGCTTCTCTATAGTGTCACCTTACCAGAAGGAAGAGGCATTCTGAAGTAAGTGTCAGGAAATTCCATAGCTCAAAAAAGTAATATATTGCAATGTACCTTAGAACAGATTCTTTGGCACGACTTTGTATTTTCATAGTAAGCAGTGAGCAAATATATGGTGAAATTTTCCTTTCAAGCACAATGTACTCACATTACAATGTAAATCTGGAGGGATTCCAGTCTCTGCAATGCAGTCTTCTGAAAGTACCATAAGATACAAAATATGCTCTCAGAGTCACCTCAATGTTCATTTGTTAGACTGTATTATTGGGTTAATGGTGGGGAGCATATGAAATCTGCTGTTCTGAGGAAGGCTGTTTTCCATTGTTGCAGATACAAAGAATGAACACCAGAATGGTTCTTCCAGAGATGTGGGAGATGCTGCTTTTGCACTTACAGGAAAAGTCATTAAAAGCCAGTGTCTGTTGGAGGGAACTCACTCATTGGTGCTTAATGCTTTAAACAGGGTATAGTCTAAGCTTTATTCTTATGGATTTTGTCATTATTTTACACTTAAAACAGTGAATAATTTGTGAGTTTTAGTTCTGTATTGATTTCCCTACTCTTTACTCTTGCTCTTACTCTAAGAATTACTTTTAACTCCCAAGTTTCATGAATCTTACAGGGTTTATTCTTACTTTCATTTCTGGAATGTATTAGATGATTCTTTATACAGTAATTCCAAAGGATATTTATTAAAAAAAAAGAAAAAGCTAAGGTTTTTTTCAAGGATACAGTTTATTTGATATTTCTTTTTTCTTAAAACAGGCTAGTGTACATATGAAAAGTGTCCTCATGCCTACACCTCAGCTACACATAGAACTGAGTGGACTACTCAGTTGTCTGCATTCTTTTCATTGTTCAACTTTTTCCAGCCCCTGTAAAATACAGTGATCACAGTACCTTGAAAGAGAAGCTGAAAAATGAAGGGCTGTTTCAGACTATGCAAACACTGGGAACTTTGCACAGCAAATTAACATTAAATCCTAGTGATTGGAAATGTTTAATTTCATGGCCTTCAGAAGAATCCAATCTCTACAAGGTTTTCAAGGTTCACATGACCACAATCAAAACATAGCAATTCCTAAATTTTTAGAAGTCCCTCTCAGTAATTTTATGCTTGCCAAACAGATTCAGACAAGGAAATTTATGTCTCTTAATGTAGAAGTCAGAGCAAATAATGTATCAGTGAAATAGTTCTAGAGTGTCTAAAAGACATCTTGTCCTTAAGGTATCAGATAGACGAGTTAACAAAGGAGGTAAAAATAATTTTTGCTTGAGAAGGTCTTCAGGGTTTTCTGATCATCCTGATTGCATTTTTCAGTGAAGCTGGTTTGTGGTTTGGAGTACCATAATATCAGCCAGAAGGTCTAGAAATTGACACAAATGTGTCAATTAAATTAAAAACTAGAGACAGAATGAGGAGGAAGATGGACATGACTCCATTGAAATAATTTTGCAGATTTTGCAGATTTGTGATGGCTGTGACATTCTCTGTGACAGAGTTCTAGGCCTCATCTAGGTTGTTCCATCTAAAAGTGGGGGATAGTAATAGGTATGTTGCTTCATATATTTTTCTTTTAATATTTTTCAGTTGCCAGCGTGTTTATCACTTGTTCCAGTTCTCAAAAAAACCACATTTAAACCATGTTTTCTTCTTTTTTAACCACAAAGGAAGTACATTTTCTCCCGCTGCTTGACCTAGAAAAATGGTGTAAACTTATCAATGAGAATTTGAAGGAAAAAAATCTAATTTTTCATTAGAAAGTAGCTAGGGAATATTTTCAGAAGCAAATATCAAAATCTGAGGAAGTTATGAGCATCTGAAACTGATGGTTGATAAGAAAATATTTTTGGAATTGTGATTGTTATTTACTGTCACATCACCTGTAATTTCACATACTTAAGAACAACATTCACTTGTTATTGTAGAGCAGCTTTAAGAACAAGCAACTCCTCTGTTGCCATTGTAAGCAGAACAATCTTGATCTGATTTTATCTTCCTTTCTCCACTAGTTTATTGGAAATCCTAGCATTCAGAAGTGTGGATTAAAACTACTTGGTTCTGTAGCTGAATGCACTGGTGCACTGGAAATTTTAACCCAACAAGGAGCTACTGACACTGTGCTTCACACCCTACAGATGTATCCAGATGAACAAGGTAGGGAAGGTGTTTTGTCAGCAGAATGAGAATGACATGGTAGGAGGTTTGTACCAGATCTGTTGCTCCCTTTAGTGCTGGATGTGATGTAGGTTGTATGGCAAGAGAAGGCTGCAGTGTTTCACAGTCCTCAGGTTCACCCACATTGTTGTTATGCCTGGCCCTATAATAGCTTGTACAAGTAACTTTCTGGAATGTTACTAAAAGACTGCTTCAATCATGGGTTTATTCCACTCAGAATGTCTGAACTATCGGTGTCTGAATAATATTTATTTTTCTTCTAGACATACAGTGTTTGGGTTTGAGTCTTCTACGCTCTTTGATTACACGGAAGAGTTTGTGTATTGCAACCATGCATGTCCTGTCAGCAGTTCTGGTTTCTACTCTGCGACGATTTAAAGAAGTCACTGAAATCCAAATGCATGTATGTGTTATTTCTGCCTTTGAAGATAAAAACAAAACTCAGAACCATAGAAAATTATTTTAATATAGTTATTTAAGTATAATTAATTATTTTACTTACTTCAGTTTGATTTTATTGAAATTACTAGATTACTAGAACCTTTCTAATTAAACTGAGACATTTATTGTAGAAATTGTTTTATTGGAGGCATATATTCAATCCAGAATATGTAAGCATAGGTTAACTGTTTATCTAAACCTTCTGAGATCTGCAAACTAGAACAAATTTCTCAGTTGTGGTCCATTGTTCTGTAAATCTGTAACCATTTCATGAAGTAACCATTATTAGAGTACTGATTGCCCTTCTTTGAGAAGTCATAGAAGATGACTTCATTCCAAGCCTTGCCACCAGGATTAAGCTTAGGGTAGGAATGCTGTATTTAAGAAAAGATATTACTGGAATACTGTCAGACTTTGGACCCACATCTGTATATGGAAGGAGAGTTCTTTGTCTGTAAGCACACATTTAATCCTTGTGTAAAGTTCTGTTTCCTCTGCTTCAGAAGTTTTCCCTGTTTGCTACCAGTTTCATTTTTCTAGTGGGATAGAGTTTGCACATGATATCAGCTTTCTGTGAGAGTTTCTATACTTCTCTTTCAGATGAATATGTAAATATTGCAAATACAGCCTCCCTTCTTTGCTGCTTTTTGTCCAGCCTTTCCACATTTAGCTTAGCAACCAACGTAGAGAGAAATAAAAAAATATGCTGGAATAAGGAAGTTGCTTTAAATGATTTAGTTTCAATTGGATTTCGACAAAGAGTCCATAATTTACCCAGTTCATCCTTCTAGGTGAACTTTACTTGCAGAATCATGGGATAATTTTGTATTTCTTCTTACTTACTAGATACACCTGTTAAGTTTTTTATTTAGTCTAATAGTTCTTTTTAAATTCAGGGATTACAGAGCAACACACTGGAATAGGGGATGTATCTTCATTCCATATCATTAGAAGGAGATTGTTTCCTCTTTACACTTTCAGAAAATCACAAGGACATTTGTCACTGCCAGGCAGGATGTTGTCAGATATTATGGTGCACATCTGACTTTTCAAAGTGTCAGTTAATATCTGTTTAAGTGGGTCTGCTAAACAAGCATGTAACTACAGCTATATAAACAGAGATACCTGCTATTTCCTGCCTTCTCTCTCAAACCTCTCCTATTTGTTAACTATTGCATGTTTAAAAGTAAGACAACAAAATTAAAGCACAAGTCTTTTGGTTGAACTTTGATTTTGTTGCATGACCTGTTTTAAAGCGACACTTTTTAACACTGTACTTCTTTCAATGTTCTCATTGTGTTCTTAGGGATTTCACGCAATCTTGGCAATTCTTGGTTTGTCACCTTGTTTTGCAAAGCTGCTGGTAAATGAGTCATTTGACACAGTCATTTTCTACCAGATGTCTATGTGTTTCACTGACCAGCGAGATCAACAGGTATCTTCTTTCTCTGACAGTTCCACAGCTGAAAAATGTTGGTGCTTTTTTTCCTTAACTTTTATTGTTTGTCTTCCCATTCAGTTTCAAAGCCTCTGTTGTAGATGTTTTGCTAAAATAGCTGAAAATGATGAGTTAAAAAATACAATGCTGGAAAAAGCATGTATGGAGTACAATAGTATTATGGCTGAATGTTTACTTCTACTGGGAGCTGATATTAATAAGAAGACAAAGACAAACTCTTTGATCTATCAGGTAATACATGGAAATATATATACAATTTTATTGCTTACAAGTTTGTGCTTTTGGGTTCCTTTGTGTTGTCATGTAAATATTTATTTGGCAAAACACAGAGAACAGAGATGCTGCTCCCACATGCCCACAAGTGCTTCTTGATAATTGTGACCACCTTTGAATTTAATTTTTTTTAAGTGATATGCATAAGCACTTCTTTATTTTGGTTCAGTGTCAAAGTTTTAAATAGTCTGAGAGAACCCCACCAATACTGCCTGAAGAGAATTAGGAAGTGTTCAGTTCTCTTGGTGGAACTTTCTGGGTGATGAAGCACAGCTGGGTTTGGAACTGACCATCCAGTCACAGAGTGTGAATCACTGCTTGCAAACCTCAGTGGACATATTGATGTAACTGAAAGTATTTCTAGAAAATGTTTTTAATACTCACAATCACTGGTCTGTGTAGTAATGCAGACTTGGAGATTGGGAGGAGCTTACTGAACCATAGAAACATAAAGGTTGGAAAAGACTTCCATGATAATGAAGCCCAAATTTTGTCTGAACACCACCTTGTCAACTAAGCCAGAGCACTAAGTGCCACATCCAGTTGTTTGTTGGACACTTCCAGGGATGGGGACTCCACCACTTAGGGTTTCAATGCTTAACCACCCTGTCAGTGAAGATACTCTTCCTGACGTCCAGCCTAAACCTACCCTAGAGCAGCTTGAGGCCGTGTCCTCTTGTCACTGGAGAAGTGCCCAGGAGAAGTGGCCTCTTGCCCAGGAGAAGTGGCCAATCTCTACCTGGCTACGCCCTCCATTCAGGTAGTTAAAGCCAGTAGAGCTGAGCTCACTATCATTAGGCAAGGCTTGATGAGACTGACTATTGTTGCCTGTTCATTAAATATCCAGATGGTAACCCCTAAGTGTCTGTTTTCCACTAAACAGATAAATAAATGGAGTTGCAATAGGCCACATGCAATAACCAAACTAGATAAATTACCGTTCATTTCTGCCTGAAAATTGTGTGCACTCATGACAAAAAATTACAATTGCAGATCTAAAGCATTTGATAAATTTGGGCAAAGCTTGCATGAAAGTTGGAATTGGTACTCAGGCACCTTAGGCAGGCATATGCTTCAAGGAGTAAGGAATTGCATAATTGAGAGAGACACAATCCTAAAAATAAAGTCACTCTGAATTTGAGACAAGCATCTTAATGCAGTCTGAGGTGTTACTTGAATGCTTCATATTCTTGGTTTGTTCTAATTGCTTTTCTCTCTTAGGTTTGTGAGAAAGGAAGTAATCCTAAATTGGTGGAATTGTTACTAGCCAGTGGTGCTCGAGAGCAGGATGTTCGGAGTGCTTTGACCATCAGTATAAAGAGAGGAGATAGCCACATCATCAGCTTGCTCTTAAAGAAGCTTAGCCTTGATGTCACCAACAGCAGTATTTGTCTTGGAGGATTTGGTTTTGGCAGATTAGAGCCTTCCTGGCTCATTCCTTTGTTCCCAGATAAACTTACTCAAACAAGAAAACAGAGTGAGTATATATCTTTATATCAATATCTTTCGATGATACTATGAATGTGCTTTCAGTGAAGACTTTCAGTTGAGAATCTCTTCATAGCGTTCAGCTTACTATAGAAACTTCGGCAAAACTTTGAAAATAAATCAAGTTATTTCTGTTATTTTTTGAAGCTGCTTGGATTTCTTGGAGATTATTTTATCTTTTCCATTTCTTGTACACTGTAGATGCAGGTTCTGCACTGGCAAGGATGGTGCTCAAATTCCAGATGAAGAACCTTTCAGAGGATAGATCAAGAGCCTCCTCTGACACAAACTTGTCCGAAGATGGAGTGGACAGAAACTATGACTGGAATTTCATACCTGACCCATTAGTGGACAGTATTTTTCCTTTGAGTGATGATATTGATAGTGAAGGTAATTGTTTTCTTTTCTTTTTTGCTTTTTGTAATCCAAATCTAATGTACAAGGGTTAGACTATGGCCATAAATCAGTTGTTTATTTGTATTTGAAATTTAACACCTCCTATGAAGAAAAAAATCTTCTATCTAAAATTTTGTTTGGGGTAGCATTGGAAAATAGTTTGTGGTGAATATGTGCTTCATCTACAAAACTAAGACCTTGAAGAATTTTACACAGTTATACATTTAGAGTTAGTTTGTCATGCATTCAGTTTTTCGTAGAGAGAAAGAGTAAGATTCTTGCAACTGAATTTAGATTTTGACTTTTCCTGTCTATTTCTGAGCTGCCTTTAAAGCCTTGTCTGACAAAAAGCAAGAGCTTCAAGAGCCCAATTTGTCTCATCATGAAGTCAGGTGTATTGTGATCTAGAAACTTCTCTGTTCCTCAGTAGTCTGTAAATAAAGTTCTTAAAAGCAGATCTGGTACAGAGGACTATGTTATTAACAAACAAAGTAGGTGAAACAAGCCCTATCCCAAAGATAACTAATTGATCAGAAAGTCTAAATGACAGGTTTATATTCAGCCCAACACCATTCTTTGCAACCAGGACATTTGAATGCCTTTAACTTATAGAAAGACAGCATTTCTGTCTATAAACACCAGCAACTTAATAATGAAATTAGCCTTAATTTTTAATGTATCTTTTTTGTTGTCCAAATGTTGCTCTTGTTTTAGAATAGCTGATTACTTGAAATCAACATAGATAAAGAATTTGAATTTTGGAATCAGAGAATCCTAAGGAAATTTTTTATTCTGCTTTGTTCTTTTCCTTATATCATTCAGCACCATTTTTAATTTCTATAGTCTATTTGTTGCCCCATGTAGAAATGTTGTTATCATAAAAAAATGCAGGAGTCATTTTGGAAGTTTTAAAAGTAGCTTTGAGAAAAGGGACATCAAATGTCTCCAGATAATGACACCAAATGTCTCATAGATCACCAAATCCAGAGTGGTATTTGATGTTTCATTCTCAATAAATGTGGGAGTGCAAATTTATCTATTGAAATACAACTCTTTTCTATTTTAAAAAGTTATTTACACTGAAGTAGCAGAAAAATGTGCTATGAAACATGCATGATCCCAACCCAATGGAAATTTTGTATCAAAAATCATCAGTGCAGGTCCTGCAACCCACCTGCAGGTCCTACTTGAAGAATATCAAGTGAGTATGGTCCTTCTGCTCTAAAAAACACTGACAACATTCTTGCCTGTTGCACACAGAATTGACCAGTGAGATCTTGCCAGTATTGATGATTTTGAAATGCATTTCTTCTTTGTATGTCAGCATCTATAGTACAGTTGAATTCTGAGCCTCATCTTTAAATACATTTTTTTACTATTTGTGTTCCTTTGTTCAAGGGAGTGAAGGTCCACTTTTTACAAAAAAGAAGTCCAATTCCATTGCAGTTGCTGATTTATATTGTAGGGAAATGGCGTGTCAGAGAGGTTCTCCTACTTTGCTGCGACATTCCTACTCTGTGGTAAGTCAGGTCCATGCTCATTCCAGGCTTTTAAGTCCACCTACGTAGACTACTCCAAAATTGTTAATAGTCAAGTGACAGGAAAGGTCATGTAACCATATGGGCTTTGTCTCACTGTTGCCATTCAGTGTTTCCTTCTGTTCTGGTGCCCTGTGTGGATGAGTTTATGTCAGCAAAAAATTATGATCACTAAAAAGTAGACAACCTTTTGAAGTGTTCAAATTTCCAATCTGGTGTTCAAATGAAAATACAGGGATCATGGGCCCAGTCACAAAAACTTAACTTCCCCTAGTGAAGCTGATCATAAGTAATTATCAGTGGAGACTGATGGCCTAAGACATAAGAGGACAAATTGGTGGAATCGAAGTCAGATTCCTTTGGAAGGAGCTTGTCTCTTTCCATTGACTGTAAAGGAAACTGGAGAGACTGGCTTTCCTGGTGAAAGTTATATTTTGTAATACTCTGCTCCACCCTATTACTGCACCCTAGTGAAAATCATTCTGGGTTACCAGAAATGCACTACTTCCACTGCACTTTAAATCTACCATTCTTTCCTATTTCCTGAATCAGTATGTTTTATAAAGATGTGACCTATTGTTATTTTGAGTTCAAGTGTATAATAGTTTTTTTGTGTTCCCCCTATAAGCTCTGATAAAAAGAAATTGTGATAAAAAGAAATCACAATAAAAAGAGTTTTACTGAATTTGGATGATTTCAGAACATGGATATGTTCCTAAATGCTTTTTCTCTTGGATTTTGCAGGGACCTGGCTCAGATTATGAACCATTAATGAAGCAAAGACGGAAATTCTTGCTCTCAGATGAATCCCCTAGTAAGTAAACTGTACAATTTGAGGTATATAACAGATTTTGAATCCTTAATGCTTTCACAAACATAGTATGCAAAGATTTGAGGCATATTATATATTTCTTTAAGAGAAGGATACATTCTGGAAATACTACAATAAAGTACAAATAATGCATATATAGCGATTTTTATTTCTTGGGCTCCACAAATAATTTATGTCGGCAATGGAATTTCATGACTGCCCTTATTAGCTTTCAAAAGCTCCTTCTGTTGCGTAGTGCATAAACATTCACCTCTTACCCTTCCCTACTGTCTTATAAATTTCTGTGTCTTAATAGAATACTTCTTGGATTTGGATCTTAACCAATATCCAAACACTCACTCTCTTCTGCATCTTTAGCTTCCAGCTAAATTATTGTAATTTTACCTGTGATAAATTAAATAATGGTATTTTCACATTTTTGTTTTAATAGAAGGAGTCTCAAAATTGTCATCAAATATAAGACCATCAGACAGTCTTTCTTCATTGATCTCAGAGAAAGAATATATTAAATCACTAGATCTTTCATCAAATGAGCTGGAGAATATTGATGCCATCAGCCAGAACAGCTGCTTAACGAGTCATCTGGAACACCTTGAGAAACTGGAGCTCCACCAAAATGCTCTTACAAACATTCCAGAACAGCTGTGTGAAGTAATTCTACATAATTTTATGTAACACAAGTTGAAATTAGTTAAAATCAAGTGTTGATCTCTTATAATGTAATCAATATATATTGTAATAATGTATCCATAGCAATAGTACTCAAGAATATGGGTGTATATTTTGGCATGCCTCATACATTTACTCAACTTTCATTCAGTGGATTCATGTTAATTAGAAATAAAAGTGTTTTCATGGGGTTGTTTTAAGTAATTTACTGCAGAGAACTGGTTTAAGATGTGTGATATTAAGTAGCATAATAGTGGCAGTGGAACAGAGAACTGCAGGCAATTAATAGCTTAAATTTTATTAAATTGAGCTAATTGTTTTTGAATAATGCCCTTTATTTTTTCATAGAAATATTATAGGTTACATTGGTATGATTGCTACTTTCTGCTTCTTTTCTGTGTGAGATAAATATAAATAAATTAATAATTTGCATAAAAATATAATTCAGTTGCAAACATATAAATTCATATTTTCTTTTAACTTTTTACCCACAAATTACCCTTTTATTTCAGAACTTGAAATGCTTGACTTACCTGGATTTGCACAGTAACCGATTTACTTCTTTCCCAACTTACTTACTGAAAATGAATTGTATTGCAAATCTCGACATCTCGCGAAATGACATTGGACCTTCCTTGGCTTTGGATCCGTGCCTCAGATGTCCAACTCTGAAGCAACTTAACCTTTCATACAATCAGCTGGTGTGCACTCCTGAATTTCTTACAAGTGTTGCTGAAAATCTGGAACAGCTCTTGCTGGAAGGGTGAGTAACATGAGTAAATGGACTGTAGCATAACAAACATAGTAGGAAATAATAGATTTGTCATGCAGAGAGATGATGACTCTTTATCACATGTTAATGGTTGCTTAGTCTCTGGTGAAACACTGACATTGCCTTCCAAATGTGTAAATTCCTACAGGTTTTGTAGTTGGATTACAAAGTACAAGATATGAGAATGACTTTGGACCTTGATAGAATCTAATAGTGTTGCTGTTTCACTAACATACTAAATAAGTTGTATTTCAGTTTCTTTCTGCTGCCATTACTATTAATCCACAGACCTGTGTAGTCTGACATATTCAACTAGGTTTTCTGTATACACAAAACAGTTTTCACTGTATTTCATATGCATAAAAGCTTTTCTGGAAGTGGCAGTAATGTAATTTTAGGTGTTGGTATGGGTATGTTTTATATGACAGAAACAGGTAAAACATGTAGCTTATTGTTTGCCAGCACTTATTATCCTATTTCTTAGTGAGGTAACTCATGCCCATGTGGAATTCTTAAATTGGTGATAGCTTTGTAAACTGCAGAGACTGTCTCATTAATTTCCTACAGTTCATGCTAAATGAGACGGTGAACTCTGTTATTGATACTATCCTGGCATAGCAGTGGATGGATCTTTTATTTCTGTATTTTTGAGATCTTTCTCTTCCTCTTTCTAGTGTTTTTCTTCCCAGAATACATTGTGTAAAATCATATACTCATCCTGATTTGCATTCCATACAGGAATTATTTTTTGAAAAAATTTAGTTGTTGTTAGTAATTCTGTAATATTGCAAACACATATTTTTAGTACACAGAACCTCTCACCAATGCAAGAATCCTCCCTGCATGGGATTGAGCTTCAGTATGTAATCAGAAAATTAAACCTTGCAATACATTCTGACACTTGGTCTCCAAATTAATTAAACTTATTTTAATACCAGTTATGTTATTCCACGTTGCCACATGTACTAGTGTTTTTGCTGACTGGTCGGGCTTAGTGTAGATAAAGTTTTCTTTTTGCTTTACTGGTGTAAGGATGACTTTGTCAGATCAACACTACTTTCACCTTTTACCTAATAGTTCCTAAATAAAACATGGATTGTCTTTTTTCTTATTGTTATCACAGAAACAAAATTTCATGCTTATGTTCACCCCTATGCTTGAAAGACCTGAAAATTTTAAACATTAGTAAGAACAGTATTTCATCCCTTTCTGAGGATGTCTTCATGGGCTGTACAAAACTGGAGCAGTTCAATGCCAGGATGAATATTCTTGGTAAGTATCTGCAAAAACAGTATTCATCTTCTAGAAACTATTCCAAATCATAAAATTCCTCTGCCACCAACATTTGGAGTCTTGGGGGAACAGAAAAGAGTAGTACCACAAGTACTAGTCTTTGTTTATACAGTTTCCTAAGCATCAGCTTTTGATTTGATGCATAGAGTATGCTTCCAGTCATTGGATCTGACTCACCTAACTCCTCCTGTTCCTACATTTCGTGTGGATGCTCTAAAAATGTCTGAGTGTACTTGAGATTGTACACACTGTTGAGGAAGGTTCAAAGAAGAGAAAATCATTGAGATTTGGCTTGCAAAGCTAGTACTAATACAGGTTTAATAGTGTACTGTAATACATAGATGCATTCTGGCCTGTACCAGCAGTAGGTGTCCAGCAGGACCAGGGCAGGGATTGTCCCATGCACTCAGCCCTGGTGAGGCCACACCTCAAATCCTGTGTTCAGTTTTGGGCTTCTCACTGCAAGAAAGATGTTGAGGTGCTGGAGTGAATCCAAAGAAGGGCAGAGGAGGTGGTGATGGGTCTAGAGCACAAGTCTGATGGGGAGCATTGCAGGGGAATTTTAGCAGTCTCCACAGCTGCCTGAAAGGAGGCTGCAGCCAGGTGAGGTCAACCTCTTCTCCCAAGGAACAGGCAATAGGACAGGAGAAAATGCCCTCAAATTGTGCTTGGGGAGGTTAGATTGGATACTAGGGAAAGTTTCTTCATTGTGAGAAGCACTGGAATAGGCTGCACAGAGAAATGGTTGAGTCAGCATCTCTGGAGGTATTTAAATGACATGTGAATGTGGCCTTTAGGCCTTTAGTGGCAGACTTGGCAGTATAGGGTTAATGGTTGGGCACAATAGTCTTAGAGGTCTTTTCCAACCTAAATGATGCTGTGATTAAATATCTACCACACTATATTCAGCATTGTCTTCAGAACAAGAGAGAGTGTTTGGTTCACCTGCATGCAGGTGCCATTTGAGATGCCCTGAATCATGAAAAAACAGATCTTCCATAGCTCCTGTGTTTGATCTTTAAGCCTTGTGCAGACAGCTCAGGTAGCACAGGGCAGATCACTAGAACCCAGTGTTAAGGAACTGAATTGAGTCCATCCAGAGTGTGGGTCAGTGGCTTAGCATATTTTTTGCAAAGGTGTCAAAATCACTTTATGCAAAATAAAAATTATACAAATTAGATTTTCATTTATACTGTGAGAGTTCATAAGTTACTGTTAGAATTTATTCTTTCGTGACATAAAATCTTCCATTCAGAAACTACTCTCACATTATTTCAGAAGGTAATTAACTCTTAGGATTGCATTAAACACAGCTGAACCATTAGACTCATTTTTATAAGAATGAATCAGAATGAATGGGTGAATAAGACCCAACAAATCCTTGGTCACATGAGAATCTTTCGTATACTTGCAGTACAGTAAAGTATAAGTAAGATTATTTTGGTGTTTAATGCCACTAGGAGATGAAGGGTAACAATGTATAATTTGTTAAAACCAATATATTAATTAATTTTGTGAGTTTAGTTTTTAATAAGCTTTAAGAAATATGATTTGAACTCTGCCTTTGGTAGGTGATATTTTGTATGAAAATAGTAGACTGACCTTTTAGTCTGTCTAAACTCCAGTCTTAAAAATAATTTAAACTATTCTTAAAATCATAGGATTAACCCCTTTTTCTGCTCTAGAAAAGATACCTGTCTTGTCATCCAGCATAACAAGTTTAAAATTATCCCAGAATTGTTTTACTAATGTTCCAGAAGCAATTCTTCTTCTACCACAGTAAGTTATTCTTTTATTCATTGATGTTAATGTCAAGTTCTTGATAAAGAAAATCTGATTACAAAATTGCTGTTATGCAGAAATTTCTGTGACTTTCAGGGAATCCTCACTGGTTAAATCCAGAACTTGTTAGCTTTTAAACTGAAGACTAATTAGTCACATTTTCTTCATGATTCTGAAAAATTCTGTTCCTCAGATTCAAATTGCTGTTGTTGAAAATATATTCCTTGACAGCTGAAGCTGACAAATCTTGCTGAGAATACTAGGATTAATCTCATATTTCCTGGGAACCAACAATAAAAATATATCAGCAATTTTTCTTTTTTGAGTTCTGCAGACTTTTGCACAAGACTACTGAGATTAGTTTTTCACTTCCTAAATAACATGAGATATTTATTCTCAAAGAAAAGCACTTCCTCCAGAAGGAGATGCATGTGACATTTATTTTGCTATACCTTCAAAGCATTACTTATGTGAAAATTGGACTTTTGCTTTTTTAACAGATCACTAGGATGAGGTTGTGGAGGGAGTGCTTGGAAGGGGTGATCCAATATGTATGGGGAGATGTGAGTGCTGATGGCACCACAGAGAGAGCAGATCCACAGATTTGGGAATTTATATTAATGAAATTAACATGGATATTGCACATTTTCAGCATGCTAACATTCACAGCAGCAGATTTAATGAATGTGTTGAAAAAAATAGTTTTCAGGTTCTACATCTCCCAGCTCAGACAAATCAAGAAGGTGTTGCATGCATTTTGGTGTGCTTCATGTTTCATAGTAACATAAACAGCATATTTGTCCAATAGGTCTAGGTGAACTATGTAATTTCTGCACATACATGTATTTGCATACAAGTAGATCTATTTGGATTTGGATCTCAGTTACAAAATCATCTCTTCTGACAAATAATCTACTTATTTATTAAAAATTAATACTGCTTTGGTTCCAGCTAATCTGGGTTTTATTTTTTCATTTGCTAACTTCTCTCTTTTTTATTTTCATTTTTAGTTTGCGATCAGTAGATTTAAGCCAAAACAAGATCACAAGCCTGCCTGGACCGATGCACTGGAAATCACTAAATTTAAGGGAGCTGTTATTTAATCATAATCAAATAGATGTCTTGGACTTGAGTGAAAAAGCATGTGCATGGTCTAGGCTAGAAAAGCTACACCTCTCCCACAACAAGTTAAAGGAGGTAAAGTGTCAGATTCTACCTACCTAAGGAAAATGTAATTGCTTTTCAGTTGAATGCAATTTTTCAATGCTCATTTGATTTTTGTGTCACCTTTCATACCATTGCATTGTACTAGTGAAATGGTATGTAAGTGTAAATATTTCCTTCCTCTGTGATGGAAAATCACTGTATTATATTCAGCATTTCTGCTTGGAATGTGTCATGTAATCAGTTTGTATACTGAATTACTTATAAGGACTTTTCTCTCTTACTGTGGGATATTAGGCCTGTTTATTAAAAAAAGTAACTAGAGCAGTAAAAATAATACCCAATTCTGTTAAATAATTAATGTATTCATAGTTCTCTTTTTTTTTTTAACATTTAGTTGCCCAATTAATGTTCTTTTATTTAGATTCCTCCTCAGATTGGCTTCCTAGAAAACTTGACTTCTCTGGATGTAAGTCATAATCCTGATCTGAGATTTTTTCCTGATGAAATGGGAAGACTGTCCAAAGTCTGGGATCTTCCTTTGGAAGGACTCCATCTTAATTTAGACTTCAAGCATGTGGGATGCAAAGCCAGAGACGTTATCAGGTTTGTTGCCCTATTGTTCTTGAATATTCCTGGTTTGCTTTCTTGGGATTTACAGTACTAAAGAGAATTATTGAGAAAATAATATGTTGTTTTGAAAAGACATGCTGGCTTGTCATATGAACTCCAGCATGCTGCTCTATGGGAGGTTATGCTATCAATACACACAGATAAAATAGAGTGGTTTAGACCGTACTAGTATTATCTCTTGAATTTGATGCTTCTGTAAACTGTGCAATAAATGGTGCTTACCAATTATTTGTAATATGTTTATTTTGTTCCCTAGTGTACTGCACAGAGCTCAATTTTGGGATAATTGCAAAGCAAAAAAAGACACATTCTGAATTAAACTTTAGCTTTCAGAAATTAGAGTAGAACAGCAATATCAAACAGATACTGAAAATTTGAAACAAAAATTGTATGATTCTCGATTTTTCTTTGTTCTTGAGTTCTGTTGGTCTTTTTCTCTCTTATACACTTCTGTGAGTTTTGCAAACTTTTTTCTACCAGATTTCTTCAACAGCGACTGAAGAAGGCTGTGCCTTATAACAGAATGAAGCTGATGATTGTTGGAAACACTGGGAGTGGGAAAACTACCCTGCTGCAACAACTCATGAGAAGCAAACGAACAGAACTGGGCTCTCCAAAAGCTACAGTAGGCATTGATGTAAAAGACTGGATCATTCAAGGGAAAGGCAAAATTAAGAAGGAACTTATATTAAATGTGTGGGACTTTGGAGGTATTTCCTGAGTTTATTTTCCTTTACTATTATCTTTTCTAACATTTTAATGCATTACTTATTCTTAGAGTCAATCTGTGGTAATTCAAACTGGGGACAATAGAATCACAAACAGTCCAATGACCACTTACAAATGAGTGAATTCTGTAAATTAGCAGCTAATCCCTCAAATTTAATATAAGGCCTCAAGAATTTCTTATCACCAAATGTGGTTTGACCACTCATTTCAACTATAATACTTAGAATAATCATTTCAGAATAGGAAGAAACTGCATGTAATCACCAGAAGAATCTTGCATTCAACTCTCTTTCTCCATTTTGTAGTCTGGGTCTCTCTAGGCTCTGTAGTATCACAGGTTTATAAGGTAACAGACAGCAAAGCACTTAGGACAAGTCTTTGAACTTTGTGTTTCTGGAAAACTTTCTAAGTTTGGGGGAGTACAGAAGCACTTCTAAAATCCAGGGCTATTTTAGGCTATAGAAAATTTATTTTTGAACAGTTCTGTCAAATACAGTCCATCACAATGCATAAGCACAGACCAGTATCATTCAAGCTGGGTGTCCAGCTTTAGTTGTAATTTTAAGTGCTTAATTATGTGAATTTATTTTGAAGTTGCTGAAAGTATAGGAGAAAGGAAAAGAAGAAGGTAAAAGGACAGAGTGAGGGAGAAATTCAGTATTGAAATATTCAAAGAATCACAACCTTTTAAGTTGTCTATGCAGCAACTGTGTTTATCCAGTTAAATCTTACACTTGATATGAAAACCAGTGTATGTGTTCTAACACTAACTTCAATCAATCAGCTATCACAGAGTGCCTTCTTAAAATTTGTAGTTTTTATGGTTTTCTGACAATTTATATAAATTTCTGCAAACACTAATTTCACTTGTGAACTTGTGGTCTGGGGACATGTGTTCCTCTGCCTTTTTGTGATCTGAAGATGTTTAGTCAAAGAAGTACTAAATAATGGAAATTTTTGATCATTAGGACAAGAAGAGTTCTACAGCACCCATCCTCATTTCATGACCCAGAGGGCTTTGTATCTTGCTGTTTATGATCTCAGCAAAGGACAAGCAGAGGTGGATGCTATGAAGCCATGGCTTTTTAACATCAAGGTAAGACATACAGAATTGAATTCTCCTTTCCAGGGAGCTGCAGATGAACAGAAAATGAACCATAAATATTTATATAGGGGAAGAAGAAAAACATTCTTCAAAAAGTAACAGTAATATTAAGCAAGAGCTGAAATACATCATGTATTGGATATGACAGTAATTTTACACACAAAAAGACATGATCAGCACTATTTTGGACTTAAAATTGTACAAAGTGATGTGCAAAATAATAGTTTGTATATTCTGGCAATATTTTGAATTTACTGATAAAAATAAGAAAGGAATAGTATTAAAGAAATAATGAGTTAAATTTGTATTTTTCTTTTACACCAGTATAAATTTTGGGGAAATTAGAATTAGACTAATTTAAAACTGACTAGATATAGGCTTGCAATCATGCTATTAAGTGTGTGCTTAGTATCCTATTATTAATAGGAATTAGAGAATCTGCCTGTGTGTTTGTCATTTTTCTAAGTATTTATCTCCATTTATGGGGCCATTACATGATGAGTGAGCATTACTTGTCTTTTCTTTTTGTAGGCTTCTTAGCCATGACTGGGAAATACACTCACATAAAGAGTTTGTTTACTGTTCTTGTCTTTTCCACTTTTTCACCTTGGGCAGTGATACAGGACACAGCACTGCAGTCAGTTTAGTGTTGATGAAAATCACTTCTGATGTGTTCTCCTTTGCTGTGCAGTACCTGCTGATGTTTCACTGCTGCCCTGATCCAATGACAGCTAGCAAAGTACCATTTCTTTTGGCTTTTCCATTTTGTTGGATGTTCTTAACAAATAATGTCTCTCTATTTTACTGCCAATAGTGTTAATCTGCAAAGAATGAAATACAGATGCACACTCTTTCCTTTTAGAAAAAGCTGGGTTTTTTAATATTTCTCTTTTGAAGGAGACAGCTCTCTCAATGTTTGACTTAATTGCTCACATTTTATGTGAATATAAAATACTAAAATCAACATTTGCTATTGAGTTAATCAATAGTATGGATCTCACTAACAGGCTCGAGCATCAACATCCCCTGTCATTCTTGTTGGCACTCATTTGGATATTTCTGATGAAATGCAACGTAAGGCCTGCATGAGTAAAATTACAAGAGAGCTGTTGAACAAGCGAGGCTTCCCAGCAATCCAGGATTACCACTTTGTCAATGCTACAGAAGAATCTGATTCCATTATCAGGCTTCGGAAAATCATCATAAAGGAGAGTCTTCACTTCAAGGTAAGCTATATATTGTTTTAATGTTGAAAATATCCTTGCTTTACTTAAGTGAATACATTTTTGAACATTAATACATAATTAAATAAATTCCTGTGTGATAGCAAAGTCATCTTGCCTTCTATAAAATGTTACACACAGCAAAATGATGAAGGAAGATTGCCAGGTTTGTTTTAATTTGATTTTCTTCCCAAAAATTCAACTTAATAAAAATACCAACTAAGTTCTGTTTTCAAGCACTAGGACCATATATCAAGTATTTAATTAAAAATGAGCCATCTTTGTCTTACAAAGAAATTTAATTGAAACCTTGGTTTCTTGGGCGGCATCAGGAAGTATTGCAAGATTTCAGGGGACAGGAAATATCATGTTGTGGTTTGTGAAAACCAACTGTTTTCCCAATTACTGATTTCAGTTTACATAGCATGACACTATTTCTATAAAGAGGAAAGTGAATTAAAGCAGGAAAGGAATATCCTGTGGACTGTGATCCTCCCAGATTGGCATATCTGCACTTGTATTTCTGTTGTGTCCAAAGTCATCCCAACTCATTCCCTGCTCTATCCTCAGCCACAACATGAAGCCCTAAGTGTAAATGAAGAGCCCAGCCCAGGCACAGAGCTCATAGAAAGGCAGAATCTTATCTGTAACAAAAATAACACACTTCTTTTTCTTTTAATTTATGCAACAACACATTTTTCATACATGTCATAACACATTAAAGATAAAAGGTGATGTTCTGTGCTACTTAAATCAGTAAGAGCTCCATAAAAATCAATAAGAGCTTCATAAATCATACCAGAACCCAAATTTCTTTTGAATGATTGCTTGGAAGATTTTATAGGGCAAATTATGTGTTTATGACTGGCCTCACACCAGTGGTGCTACTAATGAGTTAAGGTGTACACACCTCTCTTGTTTCTCTCAGGAAATAGCATCTTAGCCATATCCAAAATCTCCCAAACTTCATTCCACAGTACAAGGAACAGCTAACCAGTCCTAAATGGCAAGGAGGTGCCCTCTTCAAGTGAAATGGGTTAATTCTTCTTCTCATACATCCAGTAGGCATGAATTGAGCTGGTGTTTTTATGTGGCTCTGTGTCTCACCATATTTACTCAACACCCCAAGAGAAGTTCTGCTTTTTGAAAAATGTTGTTCCTTTAATGTCTGCACCTCTTGAGACTAGGACTTAAACTGATGTTTAAACTTCTACACAGATGTAAGGTGGTCTGAAGGAAATGAGGTAGCTACCATAAATGATATAGGTAGTTTGTGAAAGGAATGTTCCAAGGTGTCTGTTTAGAGATTAGACAACTTTAGTGAAGTATTCAGCATTGTCATCAAGTACTCCAAAGTCTTTGAAATTACACAAGGCATTAATTTCATCTGCACGAGGTACCAATTATATTTTCGACACATTAAAAACATCACAGTACATTGGTGAGCGAAAGATTACAGTTAAGAAGCCAGTTTGTAAATATTGGGAAAGTTGTTTCCCATTTCCTCAAAAAAGTTAGTAGGTCAGCATGCATGGAGAAAGGAAAACCTGACTGGGTACTAGTGATTACCAAATATCAAAGGGTGTCTGCAGGAAGGAATGGAGCCTCAGGAAACAGGCACAAAGCACCTGTTTGTGTCACTCATGTGGCTCAATTTATTTCATTCTATACTCTTGTCCACTAAATGCCAGCAGTGGAGACTTTTAATTGAGCTACTACCCTCTTACCCTCAGTTTCCCTAAAGACATGGTTAAAGATATTATATATTACAAGAAATATAGTATTTTATTATTAATTTTTCTATTGCATTGTGTTAACTGAAGATGTATAATATAATCTGCTTATATTGTGATATTTTCCTTTTACTTTGAACCAAAGCTTCTCTTTGAAACAGCATCTTCTGAGAGACCTCAATTATTTTTTATGTACAAGTAATATGGAAATATATTATTTTCTGAGTAGTTATTTATAGAAAGACATTACAATTCTAAAAGAATAATTACTTACATTTAACTTTCAGGAGCCATGTTAGTCAATAAATAAGTGGTTTTGTTCCTTTCTGCTACTATTGAGTGCACAGACACTTTATATCCTAGTTTTATTTTCTGCATTTCACATGAATAAATTAATACATTTAAGATTATTCCTAATTTTATAGATCAGAGATCAGCCAGTGGTTGGTCAGCTAATTCCTGACAGCTACCTGGAGCTGGAAAAGAGAATTTTGCTGGAACGTAAAAATGTCCCAGTGGAATTTCCTGTAATTGATCAGAAACGTTTGCTGGAACTGGTACAAGAAGGCCAGTTACAACTGGATGAAAATGAACTCCCTCATGCAATTCACTTTCTGAATGAATCAGGTAAAATAGTCTCTTCAATGTATGTTTGTTAGCACTTCATTGTAAATCTGCAGCTGACAGATCTGTACACATTTTTAAGTCTTTCACAAGGTTCCCACAAAATGGTAAGCTGAGGTGTCTAAGCTTAGGTAACATTAGTTTGTTAAACCAAATTATTTGGAAGGGAATTCCACAGCGTGAAGGATCAGGACTGTAACAGTTTATATCTGTTGCTCTCTCTTACTCCTCCTTGAAAACATTCTACTGCTGGTTTGGCAGTACATGGCTGAAAAAAGATGCAATTGCTCCAATCACTCAAATAGAATAGTGGTTAGAGGAACACATATAACAGCTTATCTCAGTGCAGTACTGACTTCCTAAGATTAAATAATAAACCACACAGATCTTAGCAAAAAAGTAAGTCAGATTAAAAATCTAACAAAAAGTCTGAAAATAAAGATAAAGCTAAGCATGCTGTGCTTGCACTATACTGTTCTGAGATATTGACATCAATATAGCTGTACTTATTATTCAAATTGTTTACGTCAAGTCATATAATAAAAACAGCCCAGAATGGAGTGCTTATTTTGCTTAATATTGATCTTGAGTAATGCATTGCTTATTCCAGTATTCTTTGTGCAGGTGTTCTCCTTCATTTCCAAGATCCAGCACTACAGCTAAGAGATCTGTATTTCGTAGATCCGAAGTGGCTGTGTAAAATCATGGCACAGGTCAGACTGAACAATTTTTGTGTATACATTTACAGTACATTTTCTCCTGTCTAAAGCCACTGTAACTCATCAGTGTTCCTTTTTCAACATTTCTTTATTGTTTTATGATCTAGAATTTTCTCAAGGACCACATTTTTTTACCTGGTTCTTTCTGTTTCTGTTGCTTTCTGGACAACTGTGTCATTGCTTGTCTGTTCTTACATTGCAATGTCTGATATAATTTAAACTGCAACAGACACAAGAATACATGTAGAATAGAAAAGCCCCATGGATGCAAGGTAATCCTGCAATATGTTGCCACAGGTTGGGATGAAAGCTGCAACTTTGGGCTAAAGGCTGTAAGAAGGGGGAAAGAATTTTAAATGTATGCTAGGTACAGATGGCAGAGATAAGTGAGTGAAGATGAAGATGGAATGGGAAAGGAGCAGACTGACTGTTTGAGTGAGACCATCATTGAAATGCTGATCTAGAAACACTCTAAAAATTTATTGTATATATTCAGAAACACCTAAAATTGTTTTGCTTTTTTCAAAAGATTCTGATGGTGAAAGTAGAAGGCTCTTCTAAATACCCTAAGGGAATTGTAAAGCGTTCAGATGTGGAAAAATTCCTTTTGAAGAAGAGCAAGTTCCCTAAAATCTATATGTCGCAATACTTTAAGCTTCTGGAAAAGTTTCAGATTGCTTTGCCATTAGGAGAGGACCAACTACTAATCCCAAGCAGGTAAGTAATCAGCTAAACCCACAAATGACAGCCAAAATATTTTCAAAATAGAGATAAATCAAAATTGAAACCTCCCATCAGGCTAACTAGTTTCACTGATCATCAGAGCAATTTGGTACATTAAAGCATGACATACTCTTTGTATATTACATTTTATTATATGCTTTCAGAAGAGAAAAGCTGATCTTGTAGCGGATAAAGCTTATGTTGTATCAGCATGGTGGATAAATGGAAACTTTAAATGATAGAATACTTTATGAGGATAGTACTTCTTTTACAGTTACCATGCTTCAAGACTACAGCAAGGAGGTTATAATTTAGCTTCACAGTAGTGTGCCAGCATTACAGATATTTATTGCAATATAAAAGATAACAAAACATTTCCATAACCTATTTGTGTGAAGTGAGAACCACCAACAGGTTACTCAGAGGCACTATCTCCTTCAAAAAGTGTAGATACTTAATGTGGCGACAAAAAAAGTGTTATGACTCTGAATGTGGTATTTTTGTTTTATCTGAAGCAGATAACTTAGTTTCTCTGCCTCAGTTACAGATTTCCCTAATGTGTTTAGTAATGTTTACATTGCCAAGTGGAGAGTGTTGCGTGGCTGCACTGATTAGGATTTTTATGTCCTTCAAAACCCTGGAATAGGAAAATTTTATCTGAATGTCTTACCTGCCTTATGTATGTCTCAGATTTTTCTCATATTTGCATTAAATATCTAATGATGCATTAGTGAGGTGTTGTTGGGTTTAAATTACAGTCAGAACTTCACTTTGACACAAGCAAGCATAATAAACACAGACACTATATGTTAGCTCCCTGACCATCTGAATCATGCATTCATTAATAAATAATGCATTTTACATTACAAATAATACATGTCATAAACTCAGATATAGTACATCATCAAATACTGTGTTAATATTTTTCTTCTTTCAGCTTGTCTGATCACAGGCCTGTTATAGAACTTCCCCACTGTGAAAATTCAGAAATTATCATCAGGCTTTATGAGATGCCATATTTCCCTATGGGATTTTGGTCCAGGCTCATCAACAGATTGCTCGAGATATCACCTTACATGCTATCAGGAAGAGGTAACAAATATATATCTTCAAAAGGAATAGTGTGCAAGTTTGCCTCGAATGCCAACATCTGCACATTAAAGCTTTAGTCTCCAACACTGTTTTTCTTTTGCTAAATTCTAAACACTTCATAAATGTAAGAAAAAGACAGTGGTCATTTTTGTAATTTAGAAGTATTCAGGAACAGACAGTGCCTGATTTTGCAGTTGTGTGCAAAAGAAAGTGAAGGTTCTAAGTGGTCCATTTCTTTCCTTCACATGCTAGAGACAGGGGAAATCTTTATGCTTACTGCTCTTTGCTTCCACAAAGAATACAGGAAGGGATATGTCTTCCACACAGAAAAGCAAATTGCTTTTCTTAAGCAATTCTCCCATTATTTAATTATCCCATTATTTAAGTCTCAAAGCATTGCTTTTATAAGAAAGAGGGGATGTGTCTTTACTTTTTTTCCAAGAATTCCATGCTTTCACATGGTAGTACTCTACAAGTATCCCTTATAAATGCCTGATGTCCTGGCATTTGAGCTTCTTCTGAGCATCAAATTCCAGTTGCATCCTGCTATTTTCATGAGTGTGTGACAGGAAAAGTTTAAATCACAGCTTTTTTTTTCATATTTTGCCTGAGATACTCTGTGCTTGAACCTGAATGTAACTAAGCATTTCTGTAATGCCTACCTGCTGCATGACTTACCATCTGGTTAGATACTTATAGTTTGTGGGGATGCCTTCTAGAACTGAACACAAGTTGTCATATATTTAGTTTTTGTGGGGCTGTGCTGCCTGCAAGGTTGTAGCCTTTATTTTGTTTGTTATTTGGGTAAGTATAACCCTACAATCATAATTACATATTCAAAGTACCATGAATTATTCTGAATATTTTAAAATTGACATTCATATTGGAGATCAGACTTTTAATCTAATTTTGTGTTTTCTAGAGCGAGCTCTTCGTCCTAACAGAATGTACTGGAGACAAGGCATCTATTTGAATTGGTCCCCTGAAGCTTATTGTTTAGTGGAATCAGCAGTATTTGACAACAACCCAGACAGTTTTTTGAAAATTACAGCACCTTCTTGCAGAAAAGGTTAATTATTCCTGAGCCTGAATTTTGCTCCAGTTTGATTGCAGCTTGGCATTTTGGTTTGTTGTGCTTTTGCCTTTGGAATATAGAGTTTATCTTGGCAATTGAAAGTATGGCAAATTGGGTCTGTAATTTCCCTCTTTTTGTTTCTTAAAGGGTGCATTCTTTTGGGGCAAGTTGTGGATCACATAGATTCTCTTATGGAAGAATGGTTTCCAGGTTTGTTGGAAATAGATGTTTGTGGTGAAGGGGAAACACTGTTGAAGAAATGGGCTCTGTACAGCTTTCAAGATGGTGAAGAACACCAAAAAATACTACTTGATGACTTGCTTAGAAAGGCTGAAGAAGGTATATATTTATGTCATTTGAGGTATATAGAGGTACACAAATACTGTACAACATCCCCTTTATAACATTTGGGTATTTCATGTTATTTAAAAATGCTTCATTTTCATAAGGAAAAAACCACAATGTAAGTCAAAAGCAATTTGGGTTTTTTTATATCAGAGCTGTCTAGTATTTTTAAGAATAGAATATGAGGCAGATTGCATCTACTCTGTGTGGTTATATAAAAATAGCAATAATGGAAAGAATTATTTTGTCATAATACTGATAATGCAGGTTCAATCTTGGAACTGAATCCAGCAGGTAGGAAAACTAATATTTGATCTCTTGGTTGGATCACATAGCACAGTAATTTAAAAGACAATATTCAGTATGGCATTCTACATACTAACAGCATTCTTTCATTTTGCAGACAGAAAAACGATCTCTTGGTTAGTGTTACATTGCAGCAATTTTTTTTCACATTTGATAGGTACATATATAGAACCTTGAAAATAATTAAACATGTAAGAGCCAAGAATTTGAGTGGCAAACTCAATTAGTATGTATGTCTGTGTGCATGCATATATATATGTGTGTGTGTGTGTGTGTGTGTATAAGTACGTATATTAATCTAATTTTAGGTTTTTTTTTTTTTTTTTTTTTTTTTTTTTTTTTTTTTTTTTTTTTTTTTTTTTTTTTTTTTTTTTTTTTTTTTTTTTTTTTTTTTTTTTTTTTTTTTTTTTTTTTTTTTTTTTTTTTTTTTTTTTTNTTTTGGTTTTCTTAGGTGACCTTTTGGTAAATCCAGATCAACCAAGACAGACCATTCCAATTGCTCAGATTGCTCCTGATCTGATACTGGCTGATTTGCCTAGAAATATTATGTTGAACAATGATGACCTGGAATTTGATGAAGCTCCTGAATTTCTCTTGGGTAAGCATTATTTTGTAGGGTTGGGTTTTTTTATAGAGATTATGTAAGCAAATCTATTGATGTCAATTCTGTAACATACAAAAAGCATTTTAGAGATTTATTTTCTGAAGAAATATATTATTTTAAGGTATTCTGAATTTCAGGTTATTGAGTTTTGAATTTTCCATTAATTTCTGCATTAGGACACTGGTTTTTATGTGCTTAGTTTACTGATCATGAATCTTAACACACCAGATGATCCACATATTTTAAAACTGAACCCTTTCAGCTCTTGTTTTTGAGAAATAGCTGTTATCCCTTTTATAGTAATACTCTTCAATGTTATTATTCAAAAGGTGATGGTGGGTTTGGATCTGTGTACCGTGCATCCTATGGTGGTGAAGAGGTTGCTGTGAAGATTTTCAATAAACATACTTCCCTCAGGCTCCTAAGACAAGTAAGAAGTACTGCCTTTTTTCTGTAGAGCTGCTCTTGGAATACGACCCTTGTGAAGAGTTTTAAAAGTTTAAGTAAATTACAAGTCCTCACTCTAAAATATTCTCAGTTTACTTCAGATGTAGAGATTATGCTTTCTGCACTATTTCATCTGATTTTACATTTTACAGGAGCTTGCAGTGCTTTGTCACCTCCACCATCCCAGTTTGGTGTCTTTGCTGGCTGCTGCAGTCCGTCCCCGGATGCTGGTGATGGAATTGGCCCTCAAAGGATCTCTTGATCGTTTGCTTCAACAGGACAATGCAAGTTTAACTAGAACACTTCAGCACAGGATAGCTCTCCATGTAGCAGATGGCTTAAGGTAAATGTGATTTCTGCATGGTTTTAAAAACAGGATATAGCTTCAAAGACTATATTCTGCAAATGAAAAGCTTCTGTTCTCTCATATTTCAAGCAGAATATTTCCTGGGTCAGACAAATGCTTGTGTTTTTATGGTTGATTGGCTCATATGTATTTAGTTACCTGGTTTTTTTTTTCCTGTTAATGCATGATGCTCATATCAGTAGAGAAATTGCAAGTCTCTGGGTGTAATTTCCATGTGGCTGTCTTACTGATTTCTTACTGAAACGTCATAGAAATTAATTTAGTGCTTATTCAAGTTCTGAAAGTCCATTAATCACCTCACCTCATTGCAGTGTGACTTTAAAATGACAAAACCTGCCAAGAGAGTTAAGCTTAAGGTTCTAAGATACATTTTTCAAACTATCAGTGGCTCTTCAGATAAAACTTGGTGCTAAAATACTGCAGTGTAAAGTAATAAACAGTAAATACTATTTCAGAACAATTCTAAAGTCATTATCCAGAAAAGCTGCGTCATGTTGGTGATGGTTGACATTTTTAACACAATATTTCATGTTTGAAAGCAGTTTACTGTTACGAGCTGAATGCACTCAGCGTATGTATACAGATGCATCCCTAACTTGTGAATGCTTTCAGTAAATATTTTTGATTACTAGGTACCTGCATTCAGCAATGATCATCTACCGCGATTTAAAGCCTCACAACGTGTTGCTCTTTACCTTATATCCCAATTCAGCTGTTATTGCAAAAATAGCTGACTATGGCATTGCCCAGTATTGTTGCCGAATGGGAATAAAAACCTCAGAAGGCACACCAGGTATGGAAATATGGTTTGATTTAAAGTCCATTATGTCCAAAAATAGCTAATATTTTTTTATGTAGTCTTTAAGAAGTAACTCAAATCTATATTCTAGTCAAAAGTCACAAAAGGGAGTCCTAGTCATCTTACAAGTTGTGATGCCAGATTTGTACCTCTTGGCCATTCCTCCTGTTCATGTTTTAACACCTTTTAGGAGAATCAAGAAGCATATTAAAGGTTTAAAAAGAAGAAATTAAATTACATGCATTCATAATGATTTTTCATGGTCTGGTTTTAATATGGTTATTGTGATATTGAAATTATGCTGCTAAAATATTTTACTTTAATTTCCAGTATGTTAATTAAGACATAAGTCTTAAATTTTTTTAAAGGCAATAAGTATCTCTTCTGTTCCCCAACTTCAGAGAGAACCTATTAGCATCCATTCTAAAGCCCAGAACAATTCAACCACTTTGAAAAGTTCCTTTAGCTCTTTTAAATTGTGCTAGGGAGCATCACTTCAAGTGTTAAAGGTTAGACCGTCAATAAAGACTGCAGACTTCCCCTTGATATTCAGCATTCATTGATAAAGTAATTATTTTATATTAAAAGGGGCAGGAGCTTTGTAATCCCCTTCCTTTATACTTACTGCTGATATTTTTGGACATCTGCCAAGTACAAGCTATTGCCAGCCCAGAAATAGTTTGATGTTTTTCCTTGCACTTCCTGTGTAATTTTTATCAATAATTGTTTACTTTCTGAAGTACAAAGATGGCTTCATCTTGATATGAAGCATACTTATTAATGAATGATTTATTTGCAGGATTTCGAGCGCCAGAGGTTGCCAAAGGAAATGTTATTTACAATCAGCAAGCTGATGTTTATTCATTTGGCCTGCTGCTTTATGACATTTTAACAGGAGGAGGTAGAATAATGGAAGGCTTGAAGTTTCCAAATGAATTTGATGAATTAGCAATACAAGGAAAATTACCAGGTATGCCTTGTTTCTAAAAGTTTTAGCTTTTGTCCTGGCTCCTCCACAAACAGCGTATCTTATGAGTTATGTTGTAATTAACAGTGATCATAGAAGGAGACTTAGAAAAATATAACATTCTTCATATTCCTTCTGCTTACAATACATAATTATTGGCTGCTGGAAGGAAGATTAAACAGGCTATCAGGCTGGACATGATGTAATCATTTGGACAGTACAACTCAGGACAACGTAACTTGGGCAACTTCTGCCAGTGCTGAGAGCTGTTGAATTTTTATAGCACTACAAGCTGAATGTCTGGTGTTCTTATTTATTGCCCAGAAATAGTGGGTATACTCATGAAACATTCCTTAAGGAATATTTTGCTTCATTTAGGAAAGAACTGGCACTCAGTCTGGCATAGCTTCTCCATTATGAGAGACAGAGTGTTCATACATTTACTGCTCCTTAAGGAGAACAGTCCAATTGTAAACTCAGACAGTTTCCACCCCCTTCCTGAAGAGGATATCCCAGGAACTGATGACTAAGTATCTCTTAAATGAAGCTGTATTGACTGAATTATAAGCCCTGTGGAATAATTGAAGTGTTTGTTTCTGGAGATAGTACAGTTCCTTCCACCTATGCTCATCGTTTTTGTATTTCCACCAAAGGAGGGGCTGGCTGGTCTCACAAGCAAACAGTGCCTGTCTTTTGCTGCACTGAATATGTTCATTTGCAGGTATTCATCACTAATATTACCTCTGTCTGAGGTAGGACTGGAATATTTGCTGTGGATTATGATGAACTAAAAAGAAAAAGCAATACAGGCACCATCATGAATGATTTGTTCTCAGAGAGTTCAGCAGCTATAGTCATAAGATATATATTCCAAGCACTAAGTGGGAATTTAAATTTCCATATCTTGTAAATGCTATATGGAGTTTTTTATCTATTTCCTGTATCTTTTTTGGAAGTTCATCTGTATTCGATATACTCAGAAGAATAAATGTGGAAAACAGTGTTTACAGGAATTTGAAAGACTGTTGACTGAAGTGACAGAGCCTTGAATGGTCAGCATTAATGGAAACACAACCCACATATATCTGCGATTCAGTCCCAGGCACAGGGACATCAAAGAAAAAGATAAAGCAAAATCCATTTCCTTTAACTGCTATTAATTAAAAGGACTCTAGTTGTAGCATTTCATGCTCTAGCATATGATGGCAGATGAGCAATTCCAAGCTGTTTACGCTGACATTTTACCTAAGAAAGTGATATTTCTTAGAGCGGCTCAGTAAGAAGTTAGATGAATTCTAAAAATAAGAAGGTTAGTTAGAATTATGGTAAATGCTGGTTAATAAGTTATGTAATTTTACATTCTAGATCCTGTCAAAGAATATGGGTGTTCCCCTTGGCCTGAAGTTGAAAATTTAATTAAAAAGTGTTTGAAGGAAAACCCTCAGGAAAGACCAACATCTTGCCAGGTATTATTACTTAGTTTATTTGCTTTTTTATGATAGATGGCAGTACAAAGTTGTGGTTTCTGAAAAGGAATCAGGCATTAAGTTAATGAGAAGCACAGGTTTCTTTCTGTTGTTCTTTTCTGGAATTGAAACTGCCATGAAATATTAGCTGCTCTTGCCTTCCAAAAAAAACTGTTCAATTGAAATCTACCAACCACGGGTTCTAGCTTGCTGTTTTCCCCTGTATTGCTGTGTAGCAACTGTAGTGAAACACAATTCAGATTACTTCCTGGTCTTCATTAGAGCTATGCAAAAAGACTTTGTTAAATAGTATCAGTGCAGTTACACACTGTTCTGTGGCAGTACAAAGACCAGGCTGCTGAGATACTGTGTCCATATCTAAAAAATGCTGTTATCTGTTGCTTGTTATTTATTGCTGTACAAGCCATTGTTGTCAGCATGGACATGCTGTGGCTTTCTTTATAGGTTTATGAGATCCTGAATTCTGCAGAGCTTATCTGTTTGATGAGGTATGTGTCCATACCTAGCACATCTACAGCAGAATGCATGGTGGCTGCCAATCAAAGCTGCAAGAAGGCAGGAGTCTGGATAGGCAATGGGAACACAGAAAAGGCACAACTTTCATTTGTTAACCTAAACACAGATGGACATACTTGTGAGGTATGTGGGAAAGTTGACATTTATTCTATTTTTTCTGGCAGACAGATGTTTTTCAGAAAAAATAATTGCATTTTTACAGCAGGATATTACTTCTGGAAAGCTAAGCTTTGAGAGAACGAAGATTGCTCATAAGTGAGTCATCACTGTATCCATGGAATGAAGTAGAAAAGCAGTTGCTTTTTTACTCTCTTCCTGCTATCCAGCCTGAACTTTCTCATTATACTGTCTATCTACTACTGGAATACTTTCTTCTACTGAGATGGAAACTATTTCTAGCATGAAGACTACAGAAAGGAGTTAATAGTTAGGCTGACCTTCATATCTCTACCTCCTTTTAATAATCCAGATTGTCTCTTAACAACTTCTCACTTCCCACAAATGCCATCTCCTTGTGCCACTTTGGTGATGCGATGCCCTCCACCTCTTTTCATTTGATTTTGATACATCTCAGTCCTATCCCATCAGCAAAGGGGAAAGGTTTTACCAGGACTGATGTACTGTGCTGAACATGTGTGCCAGAACTGAGCATGGTTAATCATCAAAGTTGTTTCAGTTCTATTTCCATCTGCCATCTGTTGACCATGATACATCTGAATTGGTAGCTTTGGTATAAATTATATGGGTTGTTTTTCTAAAAATAAAATGAGAAGAAGAAATATTAGGCCAGTATTATCATTGTTAGCAAATAGTATTGCAAGAGTTCTATTTGTTCAATTCTCTGATGGCTTCAAGATCTTGATTGGATAAAAAGAGTATCTTTTTTTTGTCAGCATTCAGCTGAGAGATTTTCCTATGTACTGTTTGAGAGGTCCTTCCAAGCACTTTGAAGATAGTGGCCCCTATTCTGCTAATAGGGAATTAGATTTCTTAAAGGAGAAGTTAGGGCAAGGGTCTGTCCAGAGTCCTGTTTTCTACAGCACAAGTCTATTGTGCTATATTTTTATCATCAGTAATTTACTAGCATTTACTGTTACTGAAATAATGACCAAGTTGGTTTTTTCTTCTTTTTTTGACTCAGGATATTGCAGACAGTAAAATTATAAGTTTGGCCTTAGTGACTCTTCCTACTGAGAAGGAAAACTGGATTGTAGCAGGAACCCAGTCTGGTTCTCTGTGGGCATTTAATACAGAAGATGAAACTAGAAGGCATCGTCTGCAGAAAATGTCAGATTCTATCACTTGTTTATACTGTAATTCTCTTTCAAAGCAAAGGTATAAATGAATTTTAAATGTTTTGGGTTACATTTTGAAAATACTGCTAAACTGAAGTGTTCAGAAAATTACATCTGTACATACTGCACTTTTGTTCTGACAACTGCTTGTTTTGCCTATGTTTGCACTTAATTTTGCACCCAATGCAGCTGGGGATTACATTCATTATCACAGGGATTGTGTTTGCTTTTAGTGTTTAAGAGAATATTGAAATACTAAAGACTCTCATTTTAATTTTTCTTGCCTGATTAACACACTTATAGAATTAATTATTTTACTTTTTTTCAGCAAACAGAAGAATTTCTTCTTGGTAGGCACAGCTGATGGCAGACTGGCAGTTTTTGAAGACAGAGCAGTAAAGGTAGACTTGTTCTTTGCTGTCTGTTCTACAGAGTGGTATCAGTAATATCTAAAGCAGCAACCAGGAGTAGCTTTATTTCATGCCACTTATTTTTAATTGCTTCTCTAAAACTAAAATTAATTTTCTGTTGCAGTCTGAGAGAAACTGCACACTTTACAATAACTGCTATAAACAAAAGATTCAAGAGGTGGAAAATTCCTTTGAAAGGCCTGGCAAACTGTCTAGAGACTGACATTGATTGTTGTTAAGAATAGTCTAACAGTTTTGACCTCCTTTATTTATTGCTGTAATAGCTCCTTTTTCCTCTCATTTAATAATTTTTTGTATAACAGCTATGTTCAAAAATAAAATATTGTTTAGGTTTTCTGTAGATCAGAGTTCTGCACACAGAACAGATGAAGGAATGCTGGGAACTGTTTCTATGATCTGGCACCTGAAGGTTTAGTTCCTGGCCATATGCATTTAGAGTAGTTATGGAGTTACAGTGCATTTCAGAATTCGAATATGGTCCAGTGTAGGACATCTTCAAAGACATAGGTGTGTCTTTCCAGCCAGTCCTTGACTTGTGCCAGGGGGTCAGTCCCTGCTCTGGCCTGTTTCTGCTCACAGGCTCTCTCCTATGGGACATCTATAATGGGAATGTGGTGCTTTTCACTCAGTAACATTCTGGAAATGTTCTGAACCATCAGAAAATGTGAATGTGTAAATTTAATTCAGCAGACTATGTGACCTTGTTTTAACAGGATTCTGAGTGTCTGCATCCTGCTTGTATCTAATACAGAGTATATGTTTTCTTGCAGTGTAAGGGTGCTACACCTTTGAAGATACTGACTATAGGAAATGTTAGCACACCCCTGATGTGCTTAAATGAATCCTCATGCTTATCTGAAAAAAATGTAATCTGGGGAGGCTGTGGAACAAAAATCATTGCCTTAACCAGTGACTTCTCTGTTCAAAAGCTCATTGAAACAAAGACAAGTCAACTGTAAGTTTTTGATTTTTATAAGTGATGTTATTTGGCTCATTTGTTTTCATCAAAGATTTCTGGCCATACTTTGATACATTCTTTGAGTTTGCTTGTTTCTGTTTTTTCCTTTCCATAATGCAGATGGAGTATCAATGAATAATGTTGAAAGTATTTGTTGCTAATTTTAAACAAGGAAATACATTTTTATTCCATAAAGGATTGATTAAGTCAATATCTATGCAACTGATCAACTTTCTTCTCCAGTTGGCCTAGTCCAGGCCCTGTCTACTTTACTTAGAATGACACATACATATTTATCATAGTATTTGTCCTTTTGTGTTTGTCAGTCTGGTATGTGTGCGTATCTTTGCCCTATATATATTTAATCACATCTGATTGCTGACTTCTCACTATTTAGAAATTATTGACTGAGGGTTTGGGAGTGTTTGATGTAATTCTCACATGGACAGATACTACTCTGAAGTTAAGGGGAGCTTTTCCTGAGCAGGGAAAACAGTGTTTGATGAGAAAGATTTATTAATAGACTTTGAGTATTAATGTGCCTCAAAGGATGTCATCAGCCTAACTCTATTACTGTGATAATTTATTTTGAACTGTAGGAAGATTAAAGCAAAGTCTTTCAGTTGTATTTTAGCCTAGTTTGATTTTCAGGCTGAATGATTCTGCAAGAGTCAGAGAGAAACTAATCCCACTCGTAGTAGTCTAGTTTTTCTACCAGGTGTTTTCTGTGTATCTAACTGGAGTTCTTCTCTTGTCTAGGTTCTGTCATAATGCTTACAGTGATGCAAACATTATTTCAATAGCAATAGACAAATCCATCTACTTGGCAAAGAAAAACAGCCATTTTGTGGAAATCTGGGACAAGAAGACAGAAAAGCTTTCTGAATTAATTGACTGTGCACATTTTCTTAAGTAAGTGTTTAATTTCAGATTGTTGGCCTGGTGGATAGGAAGGGGAATATCAGATTGCCTTCTCTAGCATGGTACTCTAACCTGCCAGAAGTAGGGCATTTGTCTAGTTTGTTGGGCAAGTGTGGATTTCCTCTCCTGTTTTTTGGCCCAGAACTTCAGAATATCCCATGCAGAATCCCACTTTTTCAAAGACTCTTACTCTATTTCCCAATTTCTCTATGATGTCAAGAAGACTCATTTAGCTCAAGAAAGAATAAAGTCTTTTTCTGTCCTACAGGTACTAAGGCTAATACAGTTCTTGCATCCTCTGAACAAGAACGTCTTTTCAGTGCACAAATTCAGTAGGAAATCAGATTTTTATTAACTGCGACAACCTTTTCATTTAATTTAAATTGTTCCTCTGCCTTAGCATGCCACATCCATTTATTTTTTCTGGTGAGGTTAGGAGCAGGTGTAGGTGTGCTCTTTCCTGCTTTGCTGTGACATTAACCTCCTGCAGACTGGGGGAGAACTGAGAAGTTCTCCTGCCTTCTATTAAAGGTCTTCTGAAGTAGACCAGATGGCTCTTTGGAGTCCAGTAGCTTTCATCCCAGTTTGTTTGCATGAGAATTTTGTGTTTGGGTTGGTGAATGATTGCTTAAAAGTCTGTTATTCAGAGTGGCATTTTAGTAGCTCCAGAATAGGGTGCCACCAAATTCCAATGCAAATTCTTTCCATACTTACAGGAACAAAGTGGAAAAATTAAATAAGGAATCAAAACACAAATTGGCTTATTCTGGAAGAGTGAAGACCATTTGTCTGCAGAAAAATACTGCACTGTGGATAGGGACAGGAGGAGGACATATCTTGCTGCTTGATTTGTCAACGCGTCGTCCTGTACGAGTTATAGACAAGTTCTGTGATTCTGTTCGAGTCATGATAACAGCTCAGCTGGGTAAGTAAAACATTGGAGTGATGAGTGCTTTGAAATCACTGCTAAGTTTAGGTTTTCTCTGTACTGCTTGTTATGGTGTTCCAGGAACAGATTAGCATTATCCAGGATTTGTTCATTCATTCTTACTCCACGCCTGTCATCTTTCATCAGTGTCAGACTCTAGGGTGTAAACTGAACACCAGTAGGTTGAATTCCTGTGGCCACATAAATCAGCAGTTTTTCTTGGCTTGTCACTGCTCTGCACATGAAGTCCCCACCTTACCTGCATCCCTGTGCTGTGCTTCAGCAGAGCTCTCACTGTCCTCTGTCACATGTCACTCTGTCTTCTCTTATGTGTGTCTGCCTGTGTTCTTTCTCCATCTCAAGTGTTACACTTCTGCCTTTTCTCTCTGTGGACCATGTTGGATTTTAATAATTTTTCTTTTACTGCATAGTGACTAGTTTTCTTCTCCCATCCTCATTCAGAAATGGTTCTTTTAGATTTGGGTCACAGACAGATCACAGCAGAGCTGGTAAAGTGCTACACACCTGGATGTGAGGTGTGGACTTGTACAGATGTACTGCTGCTGTCATCAGGGACACTTGTTTTGAGCTGCTGTAGGCAGATGGGAGTTGTGAGGTTTCAGTGGTGACCACGAACAGCCACAGGAATGCAGCTAAGGAAGGGACACTCCTTGGCTTTTGAAATTTCCTTCACCTGTGCACTGTCCTGCACTTCTCCCAAAAGTAATAAAGGCCATATAAACTCAAGTTTGTGGTACTGCTGTGGTGAATACAGTCAAAATACACATTAATTCAAAAAGTACTTTGTGGCACGATATGCAAATTCCCATCACTTTCTACTGTGTTTTGGAAAAAACTCTGGAATCCCTGTCAGTGTTATTTAAAGTGTGTTTACTGTCCAAAAAAAATCAAACAACCAGACACTGAAGCTGCTGTGAATTCAGCAGCACACTGTAATTCTGCTAGCAAATATCACAGTTGCAGGCTGTGGATGTTTCCTCCTTACCATCAGGAACTTATTCTGTGGGCTGTTTCTTTCTTTCTGGCACCAGAAGAATCCGTAGACTACAGTCAGGTCATAGTGCTGGCAACATTGTGTGAGTCAAACATACCTCTGACTTTCCTTTTTACCTGAAACAGCAAGTGTTACAGTCTGTTCAGAGCCCAGCTGTTAGTGGTGCCAGCTATAGCACAACATTATCATTCCAGCCAGTCATGATAGCTACAATGTTAGTACATAAAGGGACATAATATTTTCAGCATTTTGTAAAGAATAGTTGCTATGAAAGCATAATAATTTTTGCCTTGCTGCTGTCATTGATTTGGAATATAAATTGTATAGAATAGTGTGATTTAAAAAGCCTTGAGGCTCAGTCACATCAACATTTTTAATCAAAATTTTATTTATAGAAAAATCAATATTCAGGAGTTTAGCTGCATTGGCACAAATCTCACTAATAGAAAATAAGATTGATATATGCAGTTTGATATGTAGTTTTTTCTTTTGATCATCTTTTTGCAGCAATTATTTATAAGGGCTAGGTTTTTTCCCTAAATTCAAGGACTTGGTTTCTACTGAAATCTCTGAAAATGGCATTGAGGCTACTGAGCAGTTTTTCAACAGTACCACATTGCTTATATGAAATAAAAGAAGATAGAGGGAAATATTTTTTATAATATTTGTGTGAAATAGTTTCATTTAAGGTTAAAACATATAATGCCAAGCAGAGGTAAATATTTAAGGAAAAAGATATTGCCAAACTTAGAGACATTAATTTTATCTGTACTTCATATATTAATATGGAAATACAATGTCTTTTTCCAACTCTGTCACCTAACATATTGATCTTCAACAGGCATGAGACTTACCATAGAGAATAATGTAGATGTAAATCTGTAGTTTATTTTGCAAGTGCAAATTTAGATTTCTATATAGTAAGACAGGATCTAGGTCTAAATAAGAAATATTATCACTTTTTTAAGGAGTATGGATAAGACTGGCTATAGAAAAAAGTTAAATTTATGAAAAATCTGAGCATGGAGGATGTGTATGGTTCCCACCATACCTCATCTACTATAACTAGATTTACATCACTCTCAGAGAATATAGTGCTGACCTCCCCGGGGCAGGAAGAATCTCTCTACCTTGCAGAGGTCCTGGGGCATGTTAAAAAACTTTCCAACCACAGCTTTCACAGTTAGGCCATACTCCAGTCTATTTATGCCCCAGAAACTGCTCCCCTCCTCATCTTTGTCCTGGGAGCATCAGGCCCCGTGCTTGAAGCAGTGTGAGCCATGGTGCTGCAGTGGGGTGTCTGCACAGTGGGGGCTGCTCCTTCCCTGGCCTGGTCCTCACCAGGGCCTGGGGCTGGGCCCTGTATTCTTCTGCTAGCTGAAAGCCAAGGGCTCTCCACCCTCATTGTGCTGCCAGTAGGAACAGGGAGCTGCTGTGGCAGGAGAACACGTGACAGCTTCTGTCTGTCTTTGCAAGACATTTATAGACATGTCTTGTTGGAAATAAGTAGGAAGTTGACATTGAAACACTGGCACATTCTGTTTATCCTTTTGTGATCCAACCACTCCTCTCTTCCACATCTTTTTTGTGTTATTCGCTAGGCACCTTCTTGTGATCTATCCCCTATTTCTACTTCCCACCCATATGCCATCATAAGTTTAAAACTTTTAGTTCATAGTGTTTACTCAGTTTTTTGTCATATTTTGTTAGTTTGGTTTTTTTCATAACTGAACTGGCACGTTTTGCTGTGCACCGGGACTTCACTTACAGCCTGTCCATTTGCTGTGACATCTGCTTCCTGTGACTCTACCACCTCTGCCTGTGCAGTATAATAGAGTGCTTTGTTCTTGGGCTTGTTCAGCAGGCTGGTCAGCTGATCCTGTGCTTATGCCTTGGAACCCTGATAAACCCTGACATTAAATGGAGATGGGAACTATATTGTCTTTGTGTCTGGTGTTTTCATGGCTAATGATTTTGAATAAATGGTCTGGTTGATTGAACTCTGCTTTCTGTCTGCTAATGCCTTGATGCCATCTACTCTTTCTGTCCTTAAATTACAAAATTCATATTGAAATTAAAATTTGACATTTCATTTCTTTGAAAAAGGGAGTCTCAAGAATGTGGTCCTTGTTTTGGGATATTGCTATAAGAGTGACACTGAAGACAGCAAATATCACAAAGGTATCTGAATTGTGTTTTACTAACTTAGATGATTAGTGGAGGAGACACTATTGTGCTTGATTACTCACTGAGAGTGAAAAGTTGATCATCATTTGACAAAATTTTATTGAAACATTACTATTAAATAGTTTTTGTTTGCTTTTATATATCTGGACTCATACAAACTGAAAGTAACTTCCAAAAGTGGATCTGAGGAAGCCACTGTTTGAAGGATACAATACAAATTGTTGCAGAACTGTATTTGGAGAGTAAATGTCATTGCCTAATTGGAGAATGTATCAAATGGATTTCCAGAGGTGTCTGTGCTAGGTCAGGAATCCCCAGTGTTTTCATGAGTGACATGAATGAAAGAATAGTAAATGTACTTTTTAGTTTTGCAGACAGCTCACAGCTAGGACAAGCTCACTGGAGGGCAGGATTAGAACTCAAAGTGACCCTGACAAATAGAACTAATGGTCTGGAAGGAAATAGGATACAGTTCTGTAAGGAGAAATGCAAGACCTTTTATTTAATTATGAATAATCTGCTGTACCAGCATGAAGAAATTATCAGCTTAAACAGCAGTGCTGCAAAAAATGAGTCAGAATTGATCAGAGGCTGGTCATGAATCAGCCATGTCACGTGGGTGCAGATGAGGCAAACACCACTCTCACACCATGAAAGTGGTGTCTGTAAGATGTGAGCTAGTTCTTAGACTGTGCTAGGTGCTAATATGGCCTCTGCTGGTGGAGCTTAACCATTTATTGCTAATGATCTGGACTATTAGGAATAGTCCAGAGGAGACAAATGCAACCTGTGAGGAAATGTTGCAGGGAGTTAAATTGGTTAATATAAATAAAGCTTAGAAAGGACATGATAATAGACTTCAACTACGTAAATGAAGAGCAAGAGAATAAAGACTTCTACATATTCCCTGTGGGTAGGATAAGCACTAACAAGTTCCTATTACAGCAAGGGAGATTTCAGTCAGACATCAGTAAAAGCTTCCTGACAATTAACATAGCATAGCACTGGAAGATAGAAAATCTGCATCTTTAGATTTTTCTAAGAACAGTTAAAGTTGATGCTCTGATCAATGCCCTTCTTCATCTTCATCTCATCTCAGTTTCAGTGACTCCTAAAAATATAGCAATGGTAGTATAAAGCTAAGGAGGGCAAATGTAGATGAGCTGACTGAGACAAACTTTAGAGCATTTAGTTTACATTGTGGTATTCCCCAATTCCTGTAACCATAAGAACATGTACTGGCTTGTTAGCATTTTTATTTTATTTATGAGTGACATTAATTACAGAAAAGAATCAGAGACTCCAGAATCATTGGGGCCTTAGTTTTTAAGCCTCATTTCATGTAAGTGTTCTCAACTGTCCCTATTCCAATAAAAACAGTGTGAATTCTTCATGAATAAAGAGTTGTTTGCATGAATGGAGACTGAAGAAGTGACCTTTTCTTAGTATTTTCACTAGCTTATGAAATCAGTTTTTATTGTACAGTGAATGGAGTTTGAGTCTCATAGGCATTTAAGGTATAACTGCTTGGAAAGATAAAGATGAAATTTGCAGGCACCCCAGTGTTAGCATTGGCTGCAGCTCAGGTCAGTTCCTTAAGTCCCACAGGCACTAGAAATGTTTTTTCAAATACTTTAAATGGGATACTCTAAATTTAGGAATTAGAATGCAAATCATTGTGTAAGTACAAACAGCTTGTAACCCGTAACTGCATCACCTCACACACAAAGTGTCATGGAACTTGTCTTCTGGGTCCAAAAGATCATGTTTCATTGGGTAAATTTATGAGTAATTGAGAACAAGCAGATAAGCAAAATAATTTCTACTTATGCAATAATTCATCTCTGTTGCAGTTTTCAAATTTTCTTTTTTTTCTCTCCAGAGTTACAATCCTGTGTGTCAGTGTGGGACATTAACCTACCCCATGAAGTGCAAAACCTGAAAAAACACATAGAAATGAGACAGGAATTAGCAGAAAAAATGAAGAGCGTTTCTTTGGACTGAAAAGTCACCCTGCAAGTGCCATTTTTTTTCTAGTGCAACTATAAAAAAAACCATACTGTGCAATATTTACAGCTTCTTCTTCCTGTTGTTTTTAACCTAAAGCAGGAAGAAAATTCCCATTCTTAGGATGTCAAGAAGAAAAAAGTTATTTGCAATATTTGAAAGGACAGAAAACTGTTGGGAATTTCTGATTCTAAAATGGTGTCGTGGATCTGTTGTTTACCTGTGAAGTTCTGCTCTCTGCAGCTATGGCTCAACTTCAGTACGACATCGTTCATCCAGTTTTTGATCCCAGTTAAATTGGGAATAAGCCAGGAGACTATAAATGGCTCTAATTTACTTCATTATCTCTATGAGCTGACACTCTAATAAGAAGCAAAATATAAGCCTCTGTGTGTTTACTGCAGTTTGTATGTATGAGTTCACTCCTATGATTCATGGTTTAGTAAAGTCAGAGCTCGTGACCCTATGAAAAAACATCATATTTTATCTAACAGCAGTGTTTAAAGGAATATGTAATTATTACATTACTCCTTGAAAACAACAGGCAGAATTGTCTGTGTTTCTTCCATGAATAATTAACTTTCTTTTTTCATTATGACCAGAAAAAGCCCCATTGTGCTGCTATAATAAAATAGCTCCAAATGAAACACACCGTGAGGCTGCTGCATGTTGGTGTCCTCATGCAGCGCTGCAGTCTGCCTGCTCCTAGGAGATGCAGTCGCAGCATGGGAACGCTGCCAGTCCCAGTCACGTAACTCTTGCGCAGCTCTCCTGGAAGAGAAGAGAAAGGACGGGGTGAATGCTCTGATGTAAATGCTGCTATGACTTGCTCTTAGTCTGACTTGCTTGTTTGCTTACCTCAATCTAAAAAAGGGGAAGTTTTGCTTTGATTTTTCTAGCATGCAGGGTTTCCACTTACTCGTTCTTGTTTGAATTTATGTTGTTTTGAGGGATAATCAGGGGGACTTTGAGGAGCGTAAGAACTGGCTGCCTCTTCCAAATTTGTTTCCACACATCATCATTCAAGAGTCACTTTTTGCTGCTTTCTGGCTGTAAGTTCAAGCTGCTGTTTACAGCCCACACTAACCTGCTCGAAGGAAGTGCCTTATTTCTGTCCACCTGAAGACAGACACCATTTTCTTTTTTTGATACCAGCAGAATCCACAGGATGCTCTCAAAATCTCAGGGAGTGAGCATCCAGAGCCATTCCTGAGTCTAGAGAGCTGAACATGGTTGAGCAACCAAAAAGTTCTCAGTTTTTTGTTTGGATGTTGTTTTTTGGGTTTTTTTTTTTTATTATTTTTTTTTTTTAGAAAATTACATACAGGGACAACAGCATTTCTTGTGTCCAACTCTAGCATTGTTCTATTTTTTGCCAGTTGTGGAATGCATACTCAGGATGGTTTTCAGATATGCATCCCAGTTTCTATGAATTCTTGTAATCTGTGTACTGAGAAGAATTTGCTATTTATATGGGATTTTATAACTCAGAAAATATGTATTATGTTAGAATGAATATTGTTGGTTTTTTTTAAAGAAAAGAATATATGCATTGTGATTAAGTTTATTTGTAAGTGCTTTTGAAATGTAAGCCTAAACATTTATATTAAAACTGTGCTTTGTTAATAATGTATGTCTACTTTTTCATCATTGAATTTTTAAGGAGGGCTTTTCTGTGCAGCTTTTGTGGCATTTCATTCTTTCAAAATGATGCAAAAACCTGGCTCTATAGGTATTATTGACACAGCTGCACACTGCTCTATTGCAGTGCATGTCTTGAGTCCTTTCTCCCTTCCCCTGTTTATCTTCTGCTTGGTCTTCCTGCAGACTTTCCCAGAGATGGGAGGTGACCTATAAGGAGTATTGTCCCTGTGGTCATTCCTCACCTCTCCAAGACTCTGGATAACATTGATCCATAGACTGAATTGGGTCATGTGTTCAGTATTACAGGGAGGGCAAAGAACAAAAGAAACATCAGCCAAAAGAGTCAGGAGCTCATCACAACCCCGACTCAACTGGTCATTGCTGAATTATCTGTGGCTGGAGAGAAAAATGGTGGTAGCCCATTGTGACTGTATAGCAATACTGTACTCATTCATACAGGGCACACTGATCCCACTGCATCCTCACCAAATACTAAAAATAGTACTACAAGAAAATATTTAGAGAACATCTTGTGTTGGTGCTTTGTGCTAGAAGTGCTTAGGGACTGGCGTCCCCTCCCCAGCTGGCACCTGCCACCAAGGGCAGGAACAGCACCATTGAAACCTGCACTATAAGGAAGCCTGTTCCCAGAAACACCTCTACTGACAAACTGTAAGGAAAGAGGGGAAAAAAAAATCCGTAACTTTGTGTTCACTCTGATTTCAGTGGAGCTGTTTGAAAACCAGTGGAAACTGATCATATAAGAGGACAAGTTCTGTCAAATACAGTTTCTTGCATACTTCGGATAACATCCAACTTGTAAAAACAGACGACCCTTACTTCAGAAAAGAGCCTGTTTGCTCATGGGAAAACAAGCATGTGGTGTGATGTGACTGAACACCTGAGCTGGGACAGGTGAATAACCCCATGTCCCTCAGCAACTTAAAGGGTACTGGGGTTTAAACCTAAAGAAAGGGACACTAAACATACACAGTGACCTGAATGCTTGATTGGATACTGTTGGCGTTTTGTAGAAGTATCCTTCCCCTCCTGTGCTACTGACATTAATTAGAGTAATTCTTTTTTATTGGTTGCTTGCTCTTATAAATTACATATGCAGATTCACCTGGTCATTAATTTTAACCTCATTTCTTTTACAGGCAGTTCCTGTCAACTGCACTGTAAACAAGCTGCACAGCCTGATTTAATGCACTTTTGGTATTATGACCTGGCATTCCTTCAAACTCTTATACTGGCTCTAGTGTCCCATATTAGTAGCCTCTTACTTCTTCATGTACCACCCGGGGCAAAACTGGGACACATAAGGGAGGAGAGAGGATGAGGCCTCTCAGGTGTGGCTTAACCCCCAGATGTGGGCATTTGCAAGACAAATAATCCATTTTACAATGAACACTTCAGATACCAGAGACATGAGACAACAGCAAGGGAAAACAATGAGTCTCAGGGAATGAGGAAAAGACAGTAACAGTCATATTTTTCTATTAGTCTTTCAAGTAGAAAAGCATATGAACAATTTTTTCACTTATTTTTTGGCTTTTGTCATTAATTTAAAAAAAATATCTGGAAAGAGCTCTCCTTACCTGCCTTAAGAGAACCAAATGTACTGATCAAAACTTGCAAGTATTCTGTTATTTCTGTCTCAGTTAGTTCTTCATCCATGTTATGAACTCATCCCAGGACTGTACTGACCTGCACATTCTTTTATATAAAGCCTTCCTTGTGGCCTTTGAACAGGTCTAACTCACTGACTGCCAGCATACTATTGGTAACTTTTCCAATTTTTTTTTGTTAGGTAGGCATGTGCCTTTGCAACAATTAGTTTATAAGTACAGAGTAGCATAATCACATGAAAATAGAGAATCATACTTATTGTATATCTGTATTTTAAAATTCATTATTTTAAGAGGAAGAAACCACAAGATATATTAGTTATTGTTGTATTAGCAAAGAGAAACCTCATTTACCAAAAATTTAGAAGTGAACCCAGGTGAAATTTCCAACAGTTTCAGGAATGTTCTTTGCTGCACCTGTGAGATGTGTAGGCACTGTGAGGACAGCTGTGCCTTGAGCTTTAGGCACCTCAGCAAGATTCCTCAATACTTACACTGGTCCTTGTTCAATTAAGTAGCAGAATTACAAGAATTACCAGATGGTGATACAACTTTTTCCACTGCAGTGACCTCAATGCAGACTGGTACCCACCTTTTTACATGGGTTGTTTGGACTGAGCAGTAAACTGGAATTAATTTTTTAAGGTTATTAAAATTTATGATACACCAATAGATCTATTTTTAAAAACAGAAGTTTTTTAAACTATACCAATATGATTCTAGTAAAAACATTATGAAAGTCAAAAAACAAGCAAAGATATTTTCTTTTTTCTCTTTCTACTTTTGTTGCTTTGCCTTCCTGCTGCCAGAGGTTTAAGTGCTTGTTGTCAGTCCCTACAAAGGTTGTCACTAATTAGTGAGGAGAGACTTAAAAATCAAAGTGGTATTTCTTGGCATATGTGATTATTTACTTCACTTCCACCACAGCCCATTAATGTTACTGACCTGAAAAGGCAAAGCAGATAGACAAAGGGAAAGAAATTAACATCTCCTGCGATCATTTTAGTGTTTTGCCTTTTCTGAACCATTCTTTCCCGTGGGTCCTGACGGCAGAGCTGTGTCTGGGAGGGGAGCAGGCTCTGCTGAGGGGACTGACACCGCTGCCACCCAGCCGAGAAGCACTGAAACCATTCTGCAGGAAAGCGGGAGCGGAGAGGAAGCAGGAGTGGAGAAAAAGAGATATGGAACTAACAAGCAGAAGCTGGCAGCGTCAGAGCCCGGCAGCCGGCAGCGCTGCGGGGCCGGGGCCCGGCTCTGGTGCCACCGGTGCCGCCTCACGGATCCCCTCAGGGAGCGAGGCCAGGGCAGAAAACGCGGCCAAACGGTGCCCGGTGCTCAAGGATGCCTGGGCAGGAGCGAGCAGGCTGGAATCCCCTCCAGCGACATGGGGCTGCATCCCGCCGGGAGCTTCCAGCTCCTCCTGTGCCAGCAGCGCCCGCGCAGAGCAGCCCGGCCTGCCCCGGCCCCGGCTCCGGCAGCCCCGGCCGCGCTGGCCCTGCAGCGCCTCGCCTCTGCAGAGCTGCTTAACGGGGCTGCAAAGGGAAGGACGAGCCCCAGGCGGTCACAGCAGGAAGGGAGAGGCGCCGGGTGAGCCCCAGCAGGGGCCGGGGAGCCGTGCCTCAGCTCGCAGGGTCACGCTGCTCCAGCACCGCCGCCTGCCCGGCTCGGCTCCCGGCAGAGCCCAGCACCATCGCGCCGTGAGGAGGCAGCGAGCTGCCCACGGACACCGGCCCCTGCAGCAGCGACAGAAACACCTGTTCTTTTCACTATAAATACACCGTAAGGTCGATGAGTCTCACTTCTGCCTTTTCTTGTCACGACACCTCTGCAGTTGCCTTGAAAACATCTGCTTTCTGTGGAGTTACAAGAAATATCCGCCCCCCACCATCATCTGCCAGGCTCCTGAGCTCTGCCGGGATTTTGACTTTAAATTTTGACTTTAAATCAACTGAGCTAAGACTGAGGCCCAGAATTGACAACTTCCTACCAGTATCCTCAGAGATCACAATAAATAAATATTTTTTAAAAGCTGCAGAACTGCTCTCAAACCTATGAGCCCTTGGATGAGCAGCAGCAGAGGCTGCAGTTTGCACTGGGTGGGTTCAGTGGTGCTGGTGGAGGACTGAAAGCCAGTCCATTCCCCCTGAGGTGATACTGGCCGTGTAAAAGTACTTTCTCTCTCCACAAGCCTCTAGAGACTGCTACAGTGACCATTCCTTTGCATTAGTCAAGCACCATCAGGTTCAAGTGAAACTCAAATTATGCTGTTAAACTGCCTATGCATAAGTAAAGGTTTAAGGAGCTTCCTATTATTCCAATGAAGTTCAAAATTTGCAAAGTGAATTTCTAAACTTCAAAGGTATACCCACTAGAGCCCACACTACCTGCTGAAGCACAGCAACAGCAGCACCTGATGCATGCAGAGCCCAAGGCTAGGGCCACCTTGCCCTGTACAGTGGCCCTGCTCAGTTTAAATGCCACTGTTGTTCACAGTCACATTTAATAACCAACCACCAGCCAGGGAATTAAGCTTTGGTAAACAGTAATTTTCAAATGTTATCCATGAGTCAAAACTCAGCTCCCCCTGCTTTTTTTTTTTCTTTTCCAAAACAGTCCTATGCGCTGAGCACTCTACAACTAAACAATCTCACAGCAAAATACACTCTTGCCTTGTAATTCCAGGAAAACTTTCAAGGGGTAAAACCCAACAACCCCAAACCCTTTCAGTTCCATTTTTATGGCTATTACAGCTAAACCCAGCAAGAGACACAAACACCTGGGCTCTGCAGGGACTCAGAAGCAGCTGCGTCAGAGCAACTGGTCCTGCTGAAAGAGTCTGAAATCTGCTTTGCTGGCCAGCTTGGCCAGCAGCTGTTTGCCAGACCACACCAGGGTCCTCCTGACCCCAAACCAGTCTGGCTTTCAGTTTAATTTTTCACAAATCAAATTACTGGTCCTGCAACTCTGCGTATAAACATTTCTATGTATATACGCAAAGAAAAACAAAACAAAACAAAAAAAACCCACCAAAATAAACAAAAAAACCCAAAAAAACCCCCCAAAAAACAAAAAAAAAGAAAAAAAACAACCCCAAACAAAACAAACAAACAAAAAAACCAAACAAAACAAAACAAAAAAAACCAACCCAAACCAAGCTACAAAGAGATTTTGTTTGAATTTTGTTAAGTGGAAACCCCACAGAGACACATGTTTTCAGAGCATGCCTTCAGCTCTCACCCTGGAGAGGCTGCACTACCCAGCCTTGAAGGTTCATGTTTTGATTAAGTAATGGATCAGCTCTTACAAAACTCCTCTGGAAGGCAGGGGAAGGTGACATTGCCTTTCTCTTGGGCCAGCA